GAAGAGCAAAAGAGAAAGAATAAAACGAAAGATATATATCCGTGTTTGTGTGTGTGTGTGTGTAAAGGAACAATTCTTCATATGCATTATATATATATGTACCTTTAAGGGTTTCACGAATATATGCAGCTGGAATGATACGATAAGCTACGAATTGAAGAAGCAAGTGCAATGTTACGAATTAGAAATTGATAAACTTATACAACAAACAGAATGGTAAATATATACATTAATGCGTTTTTATTAATATCCCAACTTCGAGAATATTTTATACCGGGATATTTCTTTTTTTTTTTTTGTAATTTATCAAAGTGTTTTCCAACAATTGGTATCGGGATGCGACAAGAACTGTCTTCATCTTATACAAAATATAAACCATTGTACTGAGAGTTCTGAAAAGATGAAAAATTTGGAGGTCCTTAAACAAAGGATACAAATTCTTTTGGATATGGTTAGTCGTGTAAAGCGAACAAATGGTATTACATAGTTATTAAAGTAAATTATTCATCAGGTAAACACAACATCTCCAGAACCTAGAGGTATTGAAATTGGTATTCAAGTGCCGGCAATTTCTAGAAAGAAAAAAAATTTGCAGGAATTGTCCAACTTAAACGAGGAAGATCATCTAGAATGCTTGTAAGCAAATCAATATACGATATGAATGTAAAAATATCGTTGAAGATTAGAAATTCTTTACAATCATTTTCTTATCGTTTAATTTTAGTTGTAAAAAAAATCAAATAATCGCATCTCATGATATATCGAAAGAGAAACAAGACCAATTTACTATATCTGCGAAATGTCCTAAAGTAGTAATGATGCCGAAATCCTTCGTCGGCGATCCAATCATACAAGTATTGGACAAAAGTGTTCGATGTATTACAAGTCCACGAAAAAAAAGATTAACGGAAAATATCAGGTCAATGAGGAAAGATAACTTGTCCTTCCTATCGCATATAGACATATTTCGTTAGAATCTCGCTTATCTCTTCTATTATTATTTATTTATAGTTTAACTAGATTAGAAAGAAGAAAAATTCATAAGTTAACGTTCTGTAAGAATTCTTATAACGACGCCGCTACCAAAATAAGAGTCGATATTATGGATGATGGTAATGGAGATTATACGGATAATGAAAGATTTGTACCATTTATGGGCCATTTATCGTTACCAATAGACTTTTCGGTTACATCCAAACGAGTCGCAATAACGCGTAAGTAATATATCGAAAGAAACATTTACAATGTCCCAAATTTCTTTATTAAAATCATTAATATAAACGTGGATATTAATAAGACGTATACCTTATCAGGTAATCGTAAATCAAAGTCCGAATCTAGTCTACTTCCTGAAAAGAAAGCTTTATTTTGTCGGCCTTCGTTTAATGCTGCCATGCCATTATCAGCGGAGCCATTAATCAATGAAGCCATTGAAATGAGAAAAAAATCCTTCGACGGGTCAACTTGTGAAGAAGTTGAAAGAGTAAACAAGTTTCCCGTATTACTCAAGCAGAACGATCGGCAGAATTTAACAAGCTCTCATGGATATGCATTCGGAGGTACCTATCGGTCATTGAACGATAGTAGTACAGATTCTTCGGTTAGTTCGTCGTCTCTTCGATCCGATAATCTACTCCCCCAAGATTTTTCTATAGACAAGTTGGAAGACCGTCCGTTTGAATTACACCGTCCTGTTCACTTGGCTCCTATGAAATTGAAATTCCCGTCGGATAAAACCTCGCCTTTCACCAAAGAGCAAAATCTTACCAATAAGGATACGCAACAAGCAGATTTCGCTGCAGCGAGTAATAAATTGCTTGAAAATATAAAATCGAAAACGAACATCCGCGAAACAAAGCAATATAAAATCGTGGAACAATTTGAGGAAGGTCGTTTAAACAGAGATTATTATAATGAAAGCCCTAATAATTATCTCATGGATATGAATAAAGAAATCTATTCGATCAATAGTGAAACATATTTAATCGATAAATTAGCGGCCCCCATTTGCCGTGATATAACGTCTATGTATTTTCGAAGATTCTCTAATTTCGATCGAGAATGTTATACGGAAGATCATCTACCAGCTGCATACTCAACACCGATGCGCATCGAATCGAAGAATAAAAGTAAGGCCCTTTTTTTTCCTCCCTTTCTTCACTATTGTTTAACAGACGTTAGTATGTTAACCTTCTGAATAATCTTGTTTTCTTTCTTTATTAATTTTTATGCAAACGTATCACATTTCTGTCACGCAGATTCGTCGAAAAGTAAAAATAAGAAAGATGGCAACGATAATTGTGAGTCGCTCGTACGACGATTCGCTGATTTGGAAATGTCAAGAAAAAAATTATCCTTATTTAGGATATACAAGGACCGTTTGAACGAGATGAATAACGAGGAACGCCTAGAAAAGGTCGACTCTGGAGATGGAGAAGAAACAGTTTCGATATCACTTTGTAGTTTTGCAAATAATAGCGCGTTGTCGCGAAGTAAATGTGCGCTTACGAACAGGGAGAATTCCGATGAGTATTTTATACCTAATGTAGCACAGAGAAACAATACGGTTAGTATTAAATGATGAAAACTTTGTCATTTTCCTTCAGTTCTCTTAACATCTGTACCCTCCTAACCTATTAGATTATATTTGATTTAGGAAGGAAGAACGAATTGCGCAACTGCAAGGGAAGAAAAGATCAGGCCGACGTCGTCGGATGGTGAAAGTCAAATGTCAGATAGCAAAGAGTTAGTCCAGTTTGTTTTCATGAAAATATGTAAATCAAATGCTTGTGCTTTTCAAACATATTTATAGATATTTAGGGAATATTTATATATATATATATATATGTATATATATATATATATATATATATATATATATATATAAAATATGATATGTAGGTATTATTCAATTATTATTTCAGAAATTTTCTCGACAGAACGCAACCGAGAAAGAATTTGCTAGAAGAAAATAAGAGCATACTACAAGTTTGTAAATTCTATCATTCGAGTTCGGCAAAGTCGAAAATTGTTGGCGAAGAAACAAGATTACGGTAATATGCGAGTGATTATAGACAATAGGCAAAACACTTTTCATGATATTGTGTCATCTATATCAACATTTTTTCTTTCTTTTTTCCTTTTTTTTTTTCTTTTTTTTTTCTAGTACTTCGGTATCTCATTCTTTCACGAACATCCAAATTCTACCATCGTGGCGCGCGCTCATTTTCTATGCACTGGTATTTTTTTTCGGATTTTATGCAGTAAATATATTTTTATATGTTGGGCCACCGTATAAATGGTGGTCACTCGAAGAAATACTCAATCGATACTTCCCAATCACAAATACGGGATGTTCACCACCTATATGAATATTAAGTCGATTAGTTTTGACATACATACATATATGCATATATATGTTGTAAGTATACGTTTAAACATAATTATTACATGCCATTTATTAAAAATAGGTATATATTGTATTTAAAACAGTGTTGTCAATTAAAGTATTAATCAATTATAGAATGAATTTCTTTTTTACATGTACATATGTCGCATAGTTAATAAAATACCATATATACGTATATATTTACACAATCATAGAAATTTATTGTTCAAGCTGCTAATACTCTAGCATGTCCAAAGTGTTATATGTGCGTACCAGTGGCTGCCATTATTAAAATAGTTGCTAGTGGTGCCAACCCGGATTACTTGCCAACTTCACTCTAATAAATCTTGAAGTGCTTTAAGGACTTTACCAGAATAACGGATTGTGAAAGATTAAATAGAAAAACGTTTGATATTAAAAAAATTCAGTATGTCAGATATGATCAATTTGACGTTTTCAAAAAGTAATGCCTTTATATGGAACGCGGACGGTAAAATTATCTTGTTTTTATTATTTCCGTGTTATGATGTTTGGTTATAGTGTAATCATGTAAAAAAATGTTCTCGTACAATATGCCATTTCTTTGTGAATGATACATAATCAATGAAAAAAAGAGTGAAAAGTTTTTTTGTAAAAGATCATTATAATTTATTTCTCTCTCTCTTTCTCTCTCTCTCTCTCTCTCTCTCTCTCTCTCTCTCTCTCTCTCTCTCTCTCTCTCTCTCTCTTTAAGATTGGCTAAGACTGCGGAAAGATCATAGAATAACTGGAGAATTAGTGGGCTGTCTACCAAAATATCCCCGGCAAGAAGTACTTTCAGGTCTTCCATTGCTTTTGTTGCCAGAAGAAGTCTCCCTTTTATTAGAAAAAAAAATTGCACGTGTTGTTAAGTATTCACATTTAGAATACCCACCGAGCGAATCGTTAAAAGAAACCTTTGACAAGTATAGAGAGATATTGTTTATGGAACAGGAAAAATGTTTGAAGAAAGAAAAAGAAAAACAGGTATTTGCAATTACATAATTTTATGAATTTTTATGTTGTTATGATAATAAAATCATTCTAGATTGTAGCAATGATGGATAAAATAGTGGAAGGAAAAAGACGAAAAATTTTAGGGATAGAAACAAATAAGAAAAAAATGCGAAAACCTTTGGATAAAGATTTGCAAGAAGCTTTAAACAATGTAGAAGTAAATACTAAAGATCTCTTTGACGAACAAATGTCAAAATTGCCTAAATTAGAAAAAAGTGAAGCACTTGTACAGACGCATACGGGTAATAAGATATGGTACAAAATATTGGCAATGTGTCAAATTTTTTATCTCAAATAACATGTCAGTCAGAATGAAATGTTTCGTCAATTTCATTGCATAAAACGTATACGATATATATTATTTATCATTTTGTTTATTAGCTTATCCATGGTGTAATGGGGGTAACTTTGAAATAGTCGAATGGAAATATCCTAATAGCGTACAAGAAAAACTTCGATATGCGACATTTAAAGACCTTTGGGAACGAGGTTATTACATAACGAATGGAGAAAAGTTCGGTGGCGACTTCCTAGTGTATCCAGGTATCTATATATATATAGATATAGATATATGACATTACTTTATTACAACATTTATTAGTCTTAACTGCTATTATCTCGAAAAGGAACTTTACATGTGTTTATAATTATACATATAAATTCATATTTTTACAGGCGATCCGATTATGTTTCATTCTCAATTTATAATTCAATGCAAAAGCAGAAACGAGGAAATACCTATCACAGAGCTTATTGGGCAATGTCGTATTGCAAGTCACGTTAGGAAAACCCAAATATTGGCCACATTCTCTGAAGGTGGTAAAAGTGTAAATTATCAATCATTTCAGTGGGCTGAAAACAGATAGGAGCGATTGTAAAGTAGTATACGTAATTAATAATCATATAAATTAAATTCTCTCTCTACTTATATTGTAATATTATTACAAATCTGTTATCAGGGACTTTTCTGTTTGACAAACGATCAAAAAATATTAAATAATTGCGTTATGCGTTGTTTATATTATCTGAATTAATCATACATTCTTTTCTGTACGAATTACTTAATAAAATTCTCTAGTCTAAATGGCATTGATCAGTTTAAAACGATCGTGTTGAGGCATTGGTATTACGTTGAAATGTTTCTTATAGATAGTTTGTCCTTCCCGACCTGCATAATGTTTTATCACCCAATTATGATCAAAATCAAGATTGATCTTCTCACAAGTTATCAACACCTTTCCTGCCTCCATAGCAAACAATGTTCCATCTCTTCCCCAGCCAACCTAAGGAGAGAAAGAGTGAGTGTGAGTGAGTGAGTGAGAGAGAGAGAGAGAGAGAGAGAGAGAGAGAGAGAGAGAGAGAGAGAGAGAGAGAGAGAGAGAGAGAGAGAGAGAGAGAGAGCAGAGTTATGTGATATTCGATAGAAAGAAATATTTATAAAGCGTATTTAATTTACATTTAAACCAGGATGAAATCTAGGTTTCAATTGAGTAGCAAGTATTGTTCCTGCCTGTACAAAACCACCATCATTTACACGGATACCTCTGTGCTTCGGTCTTGTCTTAATAGGTTTATTTCTTGTACTGGTACTACTTTTCTTTGATGCATACCTGATGCATGCTGTTAAAAAAGAAAATAAACAATAAACAAAACTTGATCTTTTGGTACATAAGAATAAACATAACCTCGAGAGTTTTACTCACTCAGATTAATAGTCGTTGGATTTAAGAAACATTTGTTAAAACTTTGCATGGTGGATGAAATTATATTTAAAATATAAATAATTCTTTAGCGATTAATTTGACGTAATATAGATTAGCGTCAGACGTTAGACGTGCAAAATAAAGACAGTTAAGATGAGAGTAGTCGCGATACGATGGCGCGATGCGTGCGCGCTCTATGGATTAAGTCGTAGTCGTTCGATATATTGAAAAGGACAACTTCGATCGAAATAAATCGCTTTAAAAGTCCATATAACGATCGATTATATACAAAATGAAAGAAAAATTAATATTGAAATATGCATTGATGAGAGGAATAATAGAGGATCAAGTTTAAGAAAAACACTATTTTATATATATATTTTGCCAATTATTATAGAAAAGTGTTAGAAAAATAATAGAAATATTATAGTCGTTTTGGGCTTATTTACATAATAAACTTGATAAAATGAATAAGTTAATGACGTTAATTATTTTTTTCTTTTGGAACTAGAAAGAGTTATCAATTTCACCCTTCGCGGTGTCTTTTTCGATATTACCGAAGATGTCTTTATTTTATTAGGTGTATTCCTTTTAATTCCTGATCTTGTATCATTGTCGCTCTCTTCATTATAAACTAATTTAATATCTTCGGTTTCTTCTATCGTCCCCTCACTTTTATTAACACATTGATCTTTAGCCAAACTGCACTCCGATGAATTGCAATTATTCCGCTCCATTATGTCGTCATTTTCATGATAAGTTTCTTCACATTGATCATCCCTACTTTGCGCTTCTATTTCTTTATATTTGGTTACATCAACGTCCATTGCATTCGTATCTATATCAAGAAGCAAGGTATTATCTTTCGTTTCAATCGCAGAGCCTGGAGTATTTGGCGTAATTCTTTCGTTGTTGTTGTTATTATTACTATTTCGAAGTACAGTTGAAGTAATCGATGCACCTTTGACGTTATGCACATGGCCTAGTTCATTCTCCGAAAAATGTATTATCGAGCAATAACCATCCGTAGAAGATACAACTAAGATACGACCATTGCTAGACCTGTAAAGAATAAAAACTGCACATGTTTCTGCTTATTTGTCCAATGATCGTGTTAAAAAAAATTATACAAAAGTCTTTTACGAACCACGCAATGTCGGTTAATCTGGTATAATGAATATTTGATATCACGGCTATCGGAGAAATTTGTTGAGTATCATAAATTAATATTGAACGTTGCGTTGCAACGGCAAATATTATTCTATAAGGTAATGCTATCGTAGGAGTGGGTCCATTTTTTCTAAGTTCAAAATAAACAGGACAACATCGAATTGCTATTGTACATTCGTCCAAGGAAGGCAAAATCATTATTGGCCTGAAGATAAATAGACAAATAATACTAGTAATGTTAGCATATATATATATATATATATATATAAACTTCATGGGACACAACGCCTCTGTTTGAATACTAACTCTTTCAAGTTATGCCTAGAGAAGACAATTGTCGCATTTGATGTCTTTTCTATGGTATCTTGCGGCTCTATTATGCCTGATGGAACGATTATTAATGTTCCGTCTATAGAAAAAGTTAGTCTTCTGAAAAATGACTTAAATGTATCGTCATAAAATAAACGAACTGTTTTGTCTCGCAAAGGATAATCAAGCGGTGTAGGAATAATGGACTTGTGCACGCGCTGTACTGTCTTCTTCGTAGAGATATCAACTAATCTGCACTGCCTAAAGTCAATAATTAATTTATTATTATCAACGATATAATGATAACGTTAAAGACGTACATAAATATGATGATATTAAATGAGTGACTATTGGAAATATATTCACAAATACCTGTCGCTGCTCATTGTACATATATATTGGTTACAAGGGTCCCAGGTAACGCCTTGCACGAATCCTTTTGAATCGGATAATATACCATTGGTACGACCTTTATGAATATCCCATAGAATTGCTGTATTATCTACAGAACCTGATATTATGGAAGTAGAGTCTGGCGACCAACATATATCGTAAACATCCTCTAAATGGCCTCTCAGGACTTTCCATGAACTCCACTGTTCCTTATTCTCATTGTCCTCAGGCGAGATAAAAAAGTCGCATTCCTCCTTTTGCTTCCATAAAATAATGACAGATTCTATAAAAAGAAATGTCATACAGATTATCCTTCGGATCACGATAGTAAAGTAATAATATATAATGAAATGTATATACAATATTATTTTTAACTATACCGTCATCCGCTGAAGCAAGAATTTCTTTAGATGGTGAAAATCTGACAACATTTACTGCCTTTTGATGTCGTTCCAAGTCCGCTACACATTTTATTGTTGTCGCACTATTCTCGCACGACAAAAGATGCCAAATCTGAATATAAGTTAAGCTGTAATTATTTTGATCATTTTAATTCAATTGATTTAAATGACTTTACCAAAACATGAGAATCAGCTCCTCCAGTAGCTAGACGCCAAAAATCTTCACCCGCAGATGTTTCACACGATTTATTCTGTATGTCGATGCTCAAAACTGGATCTCGATTGTGCCAAGAAATCTCTGGTGTAGTACACTTCATCTCTTCGACCTAAATAATAAATATTATTTCTTCCCAAAGATTCCGAGACCAAAAGAAATTCTGATCTTAGTGCCGCTAACCGCATTATACCGCCAAATCGAGAGCGCGGAGTATATTTTACGGCAAGATGGACAATGTAAACAAGTAGAAGGTGTTATGTACAAACCAGCGCTACCAATGCCTTCCGATTTACCCAGAAAATGTAAATTTTCCCTAGTATATTCGTGGAATTTCTTTTTAATTATTTCATATCATTATCAATAAATAACAGCAATTAACGATACAAACTCATCGTTTCAATTGTTACAATCGATTGGCATGTTTCAATAAGATAGATAAATATTCCTATTTCGTCGCCTTTAAAGGTTTATTTTTACATTTGCATAGCGCCATTTGTTATGCCATTTACATACAATACAATGCAGTTTTATATTTTGTCCAATAATGCTAAATGGCAGCACAAGTGATTTCAATTCAGTTACAGTCTATACTTGCGCGATCATAATACATTTTGATAAGCGTTGCACATTATTGTTGCGTGATCTCTGTATAAGAAGAACATTTCAAATATACAATGTTTCCCTTTATAAAGGCTGTTTCAAAGATAGATCAAGGATTTAAGATTTATGGTACGTTGCTATATTTTACTATTTTTTAAGATGGCCAACAACTATTTGACAAATTAAAAAGTTGCTGGAATTGAAGAATTTCTTTTGCTATACAACAAAGCTCAAAGTTCAACGTTGAAGAAGCGTATAGATATATAAGCGAGCGCACGTGCACTAGTACGTGCGTGCGTGCGATTTTGAATATTCAAAATTTGTGATGAAAATTTATTTGATTTGTTCTTTCAAAGGTATTAATTGTTATGTATGCAACAGGTGCCATCTATCCACGGGCTTGGGGAGTTCAAATAAACAAAAATTATGCAACAAAGTATGATCAAACTTCAAAAAACATTGTATTTGTAGACGGCGTACGTACGCCTTTCCTCCAATCTGGAACGCAATACAAAAATCTCATGTCATACGATCTTGCTAGGCATTCTCTGTTGTAAGTTTTTTTTTTTTTTTTTTTTTTTTTTTTTTTTTCTAAATTTTAATCACCATTTCAATGCCTTTTTATTCTAGGAGTTTGAAAAGAAAAATAGGTTTTCCTAACGAAGCCGTAGAATATATTTGTTACGGTACTGTAATGCAGGAAATAAAAACATCAAATATCGGTCGTGAAGCAGCTTTAGGCGCAGGTTACAGTGAATATACACCGGCGCATACAATTACAATGGCTTGTATTAGCAGTAATCAAGCCATGACCACTGCTATGGGTTTAATTGCATGCGGTACCTATGATGTCATTGTGGCCGGAGGTGTTGAATTCATGTCAGATATACCTATAAGGCTTAGTCGTCCTATGAGAAGTTTAATGCTGCAAGGCAATAAAGCAAAGACTCTTGCACAAAAATTATCTCTTTTAGGGTCCATTAGGCCGTCGCACTTTATCCCGGATGTTAGTTAAAATTTTTTTTATATATATATATATATATATATATGATGTACTTACTCTCTCTGTATTATACAAAAAAGAAAAAAAAAGTAGAAACAAAGCAAACAAACGAAAAAAAAGACAAATTTATCTTTAGTTGCCAGCCGTGGCAGAATTTTCTAGCGGTGAAACAATGGGACATAGCGGAGACCGCTTGGCAGCAGCATTCGCGATAACGCGAAAGGAAGAGGACGAGTACGCGTTGAGATCCCACACGTTAGCTGCGCAAGCACAGAAGCAAGGAAATCTTTCGGATTTGGTGCCCATTAAAGGTACGTGGAGGAGAACAAAATTGAGCACATTGTCGTTTTCATATTATTATAACATTAAGCGTACAGTTTTAGGCGTAGAAGAAGTAATAAATAAAGATAATGGAATACGTGTTTCAACGCCAGAACAATTGGGAAAATTGAAGCCAGCATTTGTCAAACCGTATGGGACTGTTACCGCAGCTAATGCATCGTTTTTAACCGATGGCGCATCAGCGGCCCTGATAACGACAGAGGAAAAAGCTCGTTTATTGGGTCTCAAGCCGAAAGCATATTTACGAAACTTTACTTATGTATCACAAGATCCGGTTGATCAATTACTTTTAGGCCCCGCATACGCCATTCCCAAGGTTTATAGATAATAGTATACGGCATGCGCGAAAAAATGCATGAACCTATATGAACTTATATGAAATTACAGGTATTAGAAAAATCTAAGTTAAGTATAAAGGATATTGGCGTATGGGAAGTACACGAAGCCTTTGCCGCCCAAATATTAGCTAATCTGAAAGCTTTGGATTCCGATTGGTTCGCGCAACATTATTTAAAAAAAAGTGAAAAAGTAGGTGTTCCAGAACTCCAAAAGTGGAATTCATGGGGTGGATCTCTTTCGATTGGTCATCCGTTTGCCGCTACAGGAATCCGTTTAGCCACTCATACTGCCAACAGGCTTATCAAAGAAGATCAACAGTTTGGGCTAATTGCAGCATGTGCAGCTGGCGGACAGGTGAATTCAAATAATAATAGATCAATTATATTCCCCTTAATTAATAGAATTAGAATAATAAATTATCGAATTATTATATGTATGTGTATGTGTATGTGTGTTTTAGGGAGTGGGTATGATCTTGGAGAGACATCCAGATGCTAAAGTTTGATAAAATCAAGACCGTCCAAGATATTTCTAAATGAGAAATTTGCCAAGAAGAAAAGTCGACGTTAACATGAATATTGTACAGAAAGAGATTTTTATACTAAGTTATCTTTACTAGGATATCTTCTTTTCTTCTTCCTCCTCCTTTTATTTTCTTTTTTTAACATGTCTCTATTCTTTTCTAGTATAATACTTCATAGGACGTGAGGAACCACTTTTTGTATAATATACTTTATTAAAAAATAAAGTGGCATATTGAAAAAACGTAAGACTATTTTTTCGCTTTAATCCAGTGTAACGTTACATAACGATGGAAGTGAATGTATTGTTAAATGGTGACGTACGGCACGATCTAAAATGGCTTTTATGTCTTGACATCCAAGCAAAGCACGCTGTTTTAATGATTCCAAATGCGATAAATGTAACCTTTGACCCGCTCCTTGAGCAACGACTATCAATCCAGAATTTTTTGTCGCGTTATCATTATTTGTTTCAGGTAATGCAACAATAGATAAAGTTACACCCGGAGCGCATTCTTCTATAAAATTTGCATCCAATACACCCGAGCCTACACCTCCCTCCTCTCCATCCGTGTATGAAGAATTTACTAATGTTATTGTACATCCAATCGCATAATTCTAAAGGTAAGGAAAATGAAAAAATATATAATGACATCGTAAGCGAGCCAACACGTATAATGACCAACTTCAATATAAAAATATACCTTTATAGGTATCCCGGCGTCGATCAATGCCAGGCTGGCTGCATTAACGGACGCACAATAATCGCTTCCGTCTACTTGTAATACTTCCACGAAAATATCAATCTGCGAGCGCGGATACAATTCCAAATGTATTATCGCTTCCATTGCACGGCGCAATTCAAGAGACCTTTCCTGTGATTTACGGTCACCTCTTGGTTTACGTTTACGTTCGCCGGATGTAAAACTAAATACTGCCATACTATATTGACAATTCACAATGGCTTTGGTAATTTTGCTGCTACTTCTACCTGTGCCTTTAGGCTGTGAATCGTTTTCAAAAAGTTAGACCAATTATACAGGATTCATTATATATATATATATATATATATATATATATATATATATATATATAATTTCTCTCTCTCTATATATATATATATAGAAAAATATATAGATTAAAATCATCACGATACCTGATGAGGCCCGTATACCGCCGCCAAAATCTTTGTTTTACCATGTTCTATATAAGCGCTTCCGTCGGCTTGACCGAAAACACCCATTCTTACGTGAATTTGTCTCAATTCTAATGGACGTCTCCCATCGACGCGCAAACCACCTTGATCTGCTTCAATATCTTCTTCTATCATCTTAATCTTTATGTTTTACTTTTCCGTCTTAACAATGTTAATGAAAATACTCATAACCTATATCTATGACAATTCCTTTCAAAATGGGAAAAGTCTCGTTTACAACTCTCGGAATATCTATCTCTTCTTATTATTGGTCACCTCAACAAATTTATATTTAGAGATGGCAATTACTTTCTTTTTCTTTTTTTCCCCTGTCCCCGATCGAGATCAAAACACAATCATTTTCGAAGATTCAATCAACAGGCAAGATTTGTAAATGAAAAAATTGAAGTATGTAACGACGTTGCATTTAGCGGCCCAGCCAAAAGGTGGCGCACGTGACGCCAGGAGCCTGGCCAACATTTTACATAAAATTTATACATTTTAAATGAATTCATCGCTCATATAAACTCAAATAATGTATTTATTACCTCGTAATTATTTAAATGATAGACAATCTGCTCTTCATTTTCGAATACCTAGAGACATAATTCGATCCGTTTCAACAAATATATTATCCCTATAAAATTGGTCTTGACCAATCGACGACAATCTGCTACAAGAGTACAGGTAACCGATAAAAAGGATAAAAAAACCCCAGGCTTATAAATGTTATCGATAATTTTTAAAGGTTTGTCGATTTGTCGAAATAATTTGTGGTTCGAACATGTGATACCTGTTTTAAATGTTAGAAACAATAGTTGTTTAACAATAAAGCGACTGGAGCATAAGAAAATGGTAAAATATTTGAATCAATCGGAAGCAATCAACATTGATAAGGATCTATTTGAAAGATATAAATTTAGCTTGGACCAATTGATGGAATTAGCTGGTCAAAGTTGTGCCATAGCAATAGCAAAGTCATATCCTTTGTCAAATAATTCTTCAGATAGAATTCTGATTTGTTGCGGACCAGGAAATAATGGCGGCGATGGTTTGGTATGCGCCAGGCATTTGAAACATTTTGGTTATTCTCCCGAGATTTATTATCCAAAAGAAACCGACAACCAATTGTATAAAAATCTGTTGCATCAGTGTAAAGAAAATGATATAACGATTTTAGAAAGTAAATTTATAATAGATAAGGATCCAGTTGAACTTTTAAATGGATTCAGAGTCATAGTCGACGCTTTGTTTGGATTTAGTTTTAAACCTCCTGTAAGGGATACCTTTGTTCCTATTATGAAGATATTGAAAGCTGCTTCAATTCCTATATGTAGCATAGACATACCTTCAGGATGGGATGTTGAAAATGGTCCATCTTTGAAAGATGATATATGTCCAGAAATGTTGATATCCTTAACGGCACCAAAGATGTGCGCCCATAAATTTAAAGGAAAATTTCATTACCTGGGAGGCAGATTTGTACCTAAAAAACTGGCATTAGCTTACAATCTTAATTTACCGATGTATCCAGGAACAGATTTAATCGTATCTCTATAATAATAAAGTACTTTTCTGCTTGGCAAATTGCGCTGTCTTTTAAATAGATTAACTCCTTCTCTTCAAATTGTTCTAATGTGATACCAGTAACAATTATGCGTATTATGCCTCTGACTAACGTTACTTATTTGATTATTTCTAAACTCAAATAAACATGGATCGTGTTACGTTTGAGTATTTGTTTATTTAAAGATCTGTATGTATGCGTACGTATACACACACATACATTATTAATTAATATTTATAAAAATGATAATGCATAAACGCAGGAATGTAATATAATCGTTTGAGTTGGCCCAATTAAAATTAATATTAAATTTTATTCCAATAAAATTAAGTTGATTATTATACGTGTTTTACTTTCTCTACCTTATAACAGATTTGAATATGCCGCCCTACGGAACCATGATAAATTTTAGTTTCAAATCTAAGTATTGTCTGTTTAATGCTCCGCCCGTTGGATACCTACAATATTACGCATAATAAGAAATTTTCGGGGTCAGATTAGTTGCGGTCAATTATATCGATTGTTGTACCGAATTATATTCGTTCTCTCTCTCTCTCTCTCTCTATCTCTATCTATTTGAAAGACATGCTCGTTAAGTAATTTTATAATTATTGTGTTATGCCAGAAAGAACGTTCTAAATTCACAACATGGTAATTTGATAATTTCGTATAAATAAAGAATAATAGTATATAATCGTATTATAAATGTATGAAAATAAATGTATATAACGATTTGTTGCTTAAGGCACAAGAAGTCGAGGAAACCATGAAACGTATACAATCTCATAAGGGCGTTGTTGGAACTATTGTAGTAAATGCAGAAGGTTAGTATTTATTATGTTAAATAATATTATTATCGTATAAATGATCTCTCGTTCGAATTATATATAAATATATATATATATATATATTATAACAGGAATTCCTATTAAATCCACATTGGATAATACAACGACAGTGCAATACGCCGGCCTGATCAGTCAGCTGTCAGACAAAGCACGCTCTGTAGTTCGTGATTTGGATCCAACAAATGATCTAACATTTTTACGTATTCGTAGCAAAAAACATGAAATAATGGTTGCCCCAGACAAAGAATTCATTCTCATAGTAGTTCAAAATCCAGTGGATTGATATTTGCAAAAAGGAATTATGCATTGTAAACCTTCGCAAAATTTCGATTTTATGTTTGTGACTATTATTTTATTTGTTATTTAATACATTCCACTTAATCATTTTACCATTGAGAAATTCATTGTTATGTTAACTTATCAATTAATTAGATTGTTATGAAATAAGAGTATATATATATATGTGTCGCGCGCGTGTGTAGATATATATATATATATATATATATATATATATATATGTATGTATATATGTATATATGTATATAGACACACGTTTCACATGTATCCTCAAAACATAAATAAAAATGATAAAAAAATATAAGTGCGGAAAAGAATCTTTTAGCATTGGTGAAATATTATATATAACTGCACTTGAAAGATTATTAGTTTAACTTGTATGCAAAATACTGCTCGTTAATATTATTTGTTATATGTAATCTTATTTAAGTTAAGTATTAATTAATGATATGTTAATTTCTTCAATCTGATTCTGTTTACATATACAATTTATTCTAATTCTTACATCTTTTAGCGTATATAAATCACCTAAGATAGTGTTACTATAGATTACGGAAGATCGATACATCTTATTTTCTTCTCTTATACGTCTAAGTATTACAAAATTCATATAAAAATTAATAAATTATTAGGGAATGTTACGTGTGCCGCACGCGCGACACATGAGATATGATAATATTAAATGCGACATTTATCTACTTAAGTATTATCTTTTGCACTTTATCATAAAGATCAATCTTCATTATTTAAGCTCGATTGTGGTTGACTCTTCCTAACTGGATGATAAAGTGTATAATAAAGAATCATGGCAGTGATACCTAACAAGAAAGGCACCGTGGAAGGAACAATGTATAGAAAAAAGTACCAAGAATGTTTTGCTTCTATAGAAAAATTAAACATCCAAAGAAGATTAGCGATAACATTTTCAAAAAAGCATAGGCTGTAAAAAAAGGCATGTTTTAAAAAAGTATTGCCATCTATAATATTTAAATATACAAATATATGGAGTAGACCTATGACCAATGCAAGAAGCACGGAATAAAATCGTTCCGTTATCGTTGGTCTCATATGAGGAGCACGATTATTCTTACGACAAAACTGTAATATACCATGTGAATCGATCAAAATCCAAATTGTCATGGCAATCCAATGACAGATACAAGCGATACCGGTGTATAACGGCCATATACTGGCAATTAAACTCACAATTAATATTCTTGAGACTGTAATCAAAGAAGATTACCTAACAAATGGCATATCCTGCATTACTACAACTTATTCCATAATGTTAAACATACCTGTAACAAGGAAGTGCCACAAAAATTGACATATGCTACCTCGAATGTTAATTATTTCCTTATCATGTTGGGCCAATCGAATGGTGCGATTGTAACTTGCCATGGCCCAACCCATACTGACTAAAGAACTAACAATACTACAGACTTGATGTATAACTAGAAAAGAAGAAGAGAAGAATTTCTAATTATTATATTATAGAGCACCTTTATATAATTAAATTCGATTAAATATAATTGAAAAGGACAAATACATTCAAGATTTATGTCTCTGTTATAATGCTTCAATAAAATAGTTAATTGCAGAACTTGCTGAGGTGCTGCTTCTAGAAAGCATTCAAATATTCTCAAGAGCGCAACGTCTTGATCTTCCTTAAGCATTTTAAGATAATATCGTCTTTGGCCATTGCGATCACCTACTTTCTCACATTTACGTGCCTTTAAAGCATAAATCAAAGTATCATAATAACGTATCACAGGTGCTAATTGGAAAGCCACCGCCAAGACGCAATATATTTTCTTCTTAATCATCACTTGCGTACAAGACTTATGATTTTCTAATTGCGCCAACTCTGACTCTGTCTACAATACAAGATATAAATGAGAGCGTGACAATTTTTATGAACCGTAAAAGTATTCTATACGCTTGACTTTTCTTTTTCTTTTTTTCCCCCCTTGAAAAAAGCAAGACGTAGTACAGATTCAATAGTCGCATTTACCTTTTCGTCTTGATGTTGCATTCTTCTACTAATAATTACATTTATAAAAGATGGAATAAGTAGAAAGACAAGGGTCCAAATAAAATATATTACTTTATTTGCCAGTAGATATCTTACCGCGATGTTGATATCAAATGCCATGTCAATTAAGTGCATTATAATTGAACATACCAGAAAGAATACATCTAAATTGGTTACGCATGGTTGTCTTGAGGGGATGTCTACGACGTCTATATCAAATTTTAAAGTTGAAAAAATACCACCGATGTACATGGTATACCTTTTATTATTTCTTTCTTCTATCATTTTATAATGATTGAATAACCTCAAAAGTTAATTTTTACACAAGTAGATGTCAAATCGCTACAAGATACTCATTATAAGTATGTTGTCTCATTTTTTGTAATTTAAATTTGAAGAGATTCTTCATATATATGTCCCTTATACATTGTTTATTTATTTCCTTTCTTTCTCTCTCTCTCTCTCTCTCTCTCTCTCTCTCTTTCTTATTTTCTCATTCTTGATTTAACATTCATGTTTGGACATCCACTGAAATCTCTTGAGACGCAACAAAGCATTTATTGGATAGTTCAAAGTATATGTATTGAAAATATAGTAAAGTGTATGTTACAAAATTTTTTAATATATTTTCCTCGTTAACGCAACATTTAACGTATCGTTGTGCGTGCGTGCGTGTTGTGGCATGCATATACATTGTGTGCACACACGCCATATACATATGTATATATATGATGTATGCGTGTGTGCGCGCGCGTACACACATGTATAGACATGTATTACTTCTATATGCAGTTTGTTGTTGTAAACAAAGCAAGCAATATCGAGCCCTTTGCACACAATTAAACGCGATACGATGACATTTGGTCGAGTTTAATTATAATTTAACAAGAAATAGAAATAATCGAGGAGATATCGAGAAAGAAGAGAATTATGGCAGCACAAGTAATGTGTTTAACATCATCAGGAGGAATTCCATTGTTTTCTCGCCAAAAGGGAGATAAAGAAATGGTTCGTCCTTATGTTTTATATGGAATAACCATTGTTTGTTATACCGTTTTAGTTGTCAATTTCTTTATGAAATATTTGTAGATAACTTTTTCTAAAATGGCATCTCTAAATGGCGTCCACATGTTTCTTAAAACACAAAATATGAAGCTATTAAATACGGATCTACCAGATACAGCTATAGTTTGGAAAGAATATGAACAAAGTATTATATTAATAATTATTGCCAATGGTGCAACAAAATATACTTTAAATAAATTCCTCGATGTTGCCTTTGGTGCGATGATCTTATTCGTCGGTATTGATGAAATCAAAAACGCAAAGAATATAGAGCGCTTGAAAAAAGATTTGCGTGCATGTAATCCAATTATAGATAGACTTTTAGAATGTTTAGATATCGGAGATCGAATTTGTACCAAGACGGATATTGTTAATATGACAGAGTGTATAATTTTACATGAGAACCATCTGTTGCAGGTATAACATTAATTGTATATTTTAAATGTATTATGTATCATTGGATGATTCATATGTATTTTATAAAACTTTTTAAAGACTTGTTTAGAGGGATACATGGAATGTTTAGATTCAATGTATGGATGCATTTTGGTACATGGTTGTTTAGCAGTAGCAACCGATGGATGGTGGTCCTTGGATCCTATAGAAAGAAAATTGTTAATAATGACAATAGCGACCGAAACTAATTACACGGCACGCGATTTACCAATATTTTTACCTTACAAAAGTCCTGACGTAAGTATCATGTCGCGTTAGTGATTTGAAAGAAATAACTATTGTCTACCTCAGAAATATTTGAAATGCATAAGCACGTAATAAACATGCACGCTTGTTATAATAGAGTCCACTTCTTCCTTTTTTTTTTTTTAGATAGCTTATAGATTAGTATCTATCACGTTGATAAATCATGTAGAAGTGGTGGCCCTATGCGGACCTAATCCAGAGTTATCAGAGATTGAAAGATATGTTGTGCAATGCTGGAGAACAAGTATGGACATTTTACGTAATTCGGAACAGTGTTATCCTAGAAACGTACCCACTGCAATCTCTTTGGATATTAATGCATTGGGGTAATATAAATTTATTCATCACAAAATATACTTTTTTTTTTTTTTTTTTTCCCCCATTAGCTTCATTTGTTTAAAACAGGATTATGAAAGGAGAAATTATTTTTCTAGATTCTTATTGGCAAACTGTAAGATAGAAAAATTTGTACTTGGTAGAAATGCACAAAGCACAAAAAATCGGGTAACGGGAACGCACAGATTAGACGTTTTAAGAACTTTTTATCATCAGGCAATAGAAACGTTTATGCCTTCGTCCGAGTTGGAAGAAAATTGCCTAGAAATGGACTTTGGAAGTAAATGGAAATTCGTGGGTGCCAAGGAAACATATCTGTGTTCGGAATATCATAAATGTCATGCTCTAAAAGATGGAGATCACATACTCTGCGTATTGTATACATCTATGGTTCCTACTCATACAATGAGATTGATTACCGAAAAGATCTTGAAAATGTTATTAATCGATAAGCAAATTTGTTGGTAGACATTGCAAGGAAAATAAAAGAAATTATTCTTCTAAGCGAATAAAATGTTTTACTGCGTCGTGGTCCATGTGGAAGATAGGTGCCTATAAATATTTATATAAATCATTCATTCAAAGAGTTTGTAAGGTTATGTTAAATATACGTACCCTCGCATATACTCGTACATGCGGCGAGCGCGCTTTTGTCCGCATTTACCGAATAGAGTTGAAAAAAAACAAACAAATAAATAAATAAATAAATAAATAAAAAAAAGAAAAGTTTAGTTCTCGTACGAGGCCGTGAGCGTCGCTCGTGTACTCGCCATAGATCGTTCGAATGGTTTAGATCTCTGAATAGGTTAAAAAAGAAAAAAAATCAACAGCCCGTGGCTTCACCTAGCGCAAGCTATATTCACATCCAATGTACGATTTGACCTTAGAGCGAATAGAAATTGAGAAAATTATCAGCTGATGTAATAAAGGAAAATAAGTAAAATAAGTTATTTAATGCTAACCTTTATTATAAGATACGAAATATATTGAGTATATGTAAAAATGTTTGCTGCGTCGTTCAGATTTCTACTCAATGCAAGAAGAGTAAGTACGAAAATTCATTACGAAGACGTGTAAAGCAAAACGTTCATGATCGTTTATATGTTCTTACAAACCGCACCATACGTGTGCCTTGGCATTTAATTATTAAGTTATTTATTATGATTTTAATAGCGAATAAAAGTTTTCACTTTTCTTTTATTATACGCTTTTCATTTTCAGGTAAATACACAAATACGCCTTAAATCAACGTTAGTCATAGCGGAACATAATAATGAGGTATTGTCACCAATAACATGTAATGTGTTGAGTGCAGCAAAACAAATTGGTGGTGACATTACCGTTTTAGTCGCTGGAACAAATTGCGATGCGGTGGCAAAGGCCGCAAGCAATGCAAATGGCATTAATAAAGTACTTTTGGCAAATAGCGAAGCATTTAAAGGATTTACTTCGGAATCATTGACGCCACTGATATTAGCGATGCACAACCAAAATAAATACACTCACATTTTAGCCGGTGCTAGTGCTTTTGGTAAATCATTATTACCGAGAGTTAGTACATACTTGATTTTATTACTTTTTCTATAAATACATTATTAAGACGGATATGGTCGTCATTTAAAATCTTTTATATCGTATCGTAAAAGCAAAATTTGTAATTCTCAATCATGCAAGCCTTGTTCGAGAACAAAGTTATATGATGTCATTCGTCAATAGTATAACCAATCATTTTAAATGTTATTCCATAAGAGAATTAATTCCAAATTTTACATATCAGATTTATTTTTAAAATTAGGAATAAGCAGCTAAGATTTGATCATCTTTGGTAGAAACATTACGTTACCATTTCTCTTACTTAAATAATAAATCATATATTGTATATTTGTTGAATTGATTTTAGATTGCGGCAAAATTGGATGTTTCACCGGTAAGCGATATTATTGGTATAAAAGCGCCAGACACTTTTGTTCGCACAATTTATGCTGGCAATGCTATACAGACCATAAAAGTCAAAGATAATGTAAAAGTTGTGTCGGTGAGAGGTACTTCGTTCGATGCATTGCCTCTGGAAGGCGGTAATGCTGCGTGTGAACCAGCCCCACCTGGTGATTACAAAACGAATCTAGTTGAATTTATTAAGCAAGAAATTAGCAAAAGCGATAGGCCCGAATTAACGTCCGCTAAAGTAGTCGTTTCGGGTGGACGGGGATTAAAGTCGGGCGAAAATTTTAAATTGCTCTATTCCCTGGCTGATAAGCTTAATGCTGCTGTCGGAGCTTCAAGAGCTGCCGTTGACGCTGGATATGTGTCCAATGATCTGCAGGTTGGACAAACGGGAAAGATCGTTGCACCGGTATGTACTTGAATGACGCATTGAAATAATATTGGGTGTACTCAACAATGACCTTGTTCGTAATTTCGCTTTAGGATTTGTACATAGCAGTGGGTATTTCTGGAGCAATTCAGCATCTTGCCGGTATGAAGGATTCAAAAACAATTGTTGCTATTAATAAAGACCCAGAAGCACCAATTTTTCAAGTAGCAGATTATGGATTAGTTGCGGACTTGTTTAAAGTTGTACCAATACTTACAGAAAAATTGAAATGAATATTTCATTATGTTTCTTAACAATGGATAATTTTGAACTAATTAGGAATATATCGAAGAATTAACTATATTCTACCGATCGATCGATCGTTCGAAACCAAGAAAAAAAAAGTCTGCGAAATTTAATTAATTAATGTTACGTTAAATTTAATAATTAAGGCAAACCACGATTATTATATGTTATTCTATTTTACGAACTTATTACATTCGCGATATGCAGCAGTTAATGATATTAACCGTTTGTCCATTTTTATAAAATTTTTTCTTCGATAGGGTGGGAAAAGAGAAAAGAATGCTCCTATACACATATTTTTTTATATTTATATTTAAGGAAATTAGAATGAAATATATTTTATACTAAAATAAATAAATATGTATACATACATATATATATATGTATATATGTATATATAATAAAAGCAAGTAAATATAAAATTTACAACGTAATTTTATTTGACAAAGTTGACAGAACGTTAGTGCAAATGAACGTAGAAACGAAATAGATGGCAGCAGCCGGCGCATAATCAGGATAAGGATGGCGGCACTGTATTGATTGTTAAGACGACCCAACCGAACGTATAAGTACACGATAAACAAAGTCCTCCTGAATTGAAACGCATTAAATTTTCTTACTGCTCGAATATTAATTACGTTCCTGTATTAAAGCTGCGACCATGTCAATGGTAAAGATTTTTCTTTATTTTTTCTTTTTTTTTTTTTTTTTTTTCCACAAATTTCCATACGGTCGTACATACGGTTGCAAGTATAACTTAACCTTTATGCTTCGCGAAAGTTTCTTTCTCATCTCTAGTTGATAATAATAAATTTAGAGGAGAGAAACGATTGAAAGTTGTCAACATTGGTTTATTATAATGTGATTTATTATAATGTCTAAGGTGAAAAATGGTATTTATTTTTAGAGACCGGACGATCATAGACGAAAATGGAACAGGGAAGAGTACGAACGAATAGCGCTTCAACGGCTCCAGGATGAAATCGCCGAAGAGGAATTGGGTATCCCTAAGCAGCCAGCAGTAAAAAGGGAATTACTTAAACAAAGAGATTATAAGGTCGATTTAGAATCAAAATTAGGAAAAAGCGTTGTTATTAATAAAAATACTCCGTCTTCGCAAACAGGAGGGTGAGATAAATTAATGAAATAATTTTTTCGTTTGGCATTTTTCGATAAATGTGACGTTAATTGAAATATTATATCCGCAGTTATTATTGTAATGTGTGCGATTGCGTTGTCAAGGATTCTATCAATTTCTTAGATCATATTAATGGAACGAAACGTAAGTACCGTTGTAATATATTTCGTTGGAACATAATATATATATATCATTATATATCGTTATTTAACTCGTATAATATCTAAAATTGTTAATAGATCAGCGTAATTTGGGTATGTCCATGAAGATAGAGCGTTCGACGTTAGAACAAGTTAAGGCTAGATTTGCTTTAAATAAAAAGAAATTAGAGGAAAAGAAGAAGGATTATGATTTGGAGCAAAGAGTGAAGGAATTAAAAGAAGAGGTTTGTATTACTCTCCGTTGAATAATATGTTATAATAACTGGGAATAATTATTATTTGCATCCATACATATACATAAGACAGACTATATAATGTGTCCTTAAATTAAGAAAATGATGATATCCATCGTCTGTAGGAAGAAAAAATTAAAGAGTATAGAAAAGAAAAAAGAAAAGATAAAAAGAGGAAGTTGGACGAAGTAGAGGAGGATGATGCTGGACCATCGGATGAAATGGCCGCTATTATGGGCTTTTCTGGATTTGGCTCCAAAAAAAAGTGATGATGACTTTGACCCGGACATTCGTGAAAAAAATGTCTTAGTATAATTTCTCAGGGCGCGCTGCAGTGTCTATCATCTGTGGCGCACTATTGGGAAAAGCATTTATCGACTATTTGACAAAAAGTAATAATCGGATGAAATTTGGTAAAATTACATCGTAAGCTTTAGTTTCCAATCGTTAGTAATATTTTGTATGGAAAATGAGAGAAAAAGTATCGACACGATTAAAGAAAGAAAAAGATGAACAATTATAGTGAAAATTATCTTTTCTCACAAGTACAAGAAATGATTTCTATGTATGTTTCTATATAGACAGAAGATCAATGGATAAATGAAGTATTTATTTTATATAATAATCGGCAATACCATAATGATATGATGCCGGATATGCGGTAGTTAAGGTGCGCAGTAAACTAATTTTATTCCCGAAGGAGGGCGAAAAAAATGGAAAAGAAATGATTACTGTACGTTGAAATAATTTTATATCGAGATTTGAACACGTTCGTTAACCGTAACTATCCGTTTGCCGATCGGTAATGTCGGAAACGCAGGAAACGGAGGTGTTTGATATCAAAGAGATTGGTATAGAATGAAAGCGCGTTGGAATAAAAATGAAAAGAATATACGCGCATCGAGTTTCTTTCTTCCTTTCTCTCTTTAGTAATATCGCCCTCCAAAGGCGATAGCATCTATACGAGCGAGTCTAAAAGGAGCGAGCCTAAGAGGGAAAGAGAAAGAGACGGCGACAGGATTTGGAGGGAGAAGAGAGCGGCCAGCTAAGAAAGATTCTCTCTCGGAATCAGAGAGAGGTACTACGCGATTGCTCTTTTTAGTCTTCGAGGAGCATCGTGCGCCGAAAGGTCCATCCGCGAGAGTCATTACTTATTCTGAGATAATTGGAATATATTTATTTACTCGTATATCGGTTCAACATAAATAAATAAATACACGTTGCATATATGTAATACGCGTATTGCGTATGCTCGCAATATCATCGACTCTATTCGAGGGGCTTCGAATTTTATCACGTTCTTCTGTATCCTTTTCAATATTTCGCGGCTACGTCATCACGTGATCCGAATTCGATCGATCGATCGATCGATCGATCGATCGTTCGTTCGTTCGTTCGAACGCACGCGAGCGCATCCTTTTCGCGTAATGCTCGCTAATAGCATTTCGAATCGTTTTCGATTCGAACGAGTGAGATTTTACTTTTGATTTTTAATGGAAGATACAAAAAAAAAAAAAAAAAAGATATCTTTCTTCTTGCGATTACGCGTCGCGAAACGTATCGATTATAGAAACGTGTCGTACGGAAAATCGTAAGTTTATATATCAACTTCGTTAAAATAAATCGTGCATCGACAATCGAATTAATTTTGAAATATCATTCAAAAAAGATACATATATATAAATTATCGAGAAGTAAAGATTGACATGTTTGAAAGCGATGTGTCGGAATTAACATTGAAAAACGTTTAATCCATCAATGTTGAAAAATTATATCGTACGGAAATGATCCGCAAAGTTGGAATAGCAATTCGTCGGGCATTGCTAAGCTTCTGCGTATAATCGGTTAGTTACATTCTTGCGACTTACATGCAGTAGTGCATCTTGCGAGTGAAAAAGTAAGAAAATGTGAGATGTTTTTGGACGAAGGGAGAAGAGGGAAGAGCGATAGACAGAGAATCAGTATTTGGAATCTGGGAAGAATCATTTTCGAATCGTTTCGAAAATGTCGCGTACTATGCTGCAGCCTATCGAGGAATCGACGTCCGGTAAATCAGGTAATTAATTTTAATTGATAAGTTTTAACTTATTCGTTATGGCATTATAAGATTTATCACGGAATGAAAGTGAGAGAAAGTGAGTGAGAGAAAAAATGAAGGAGGAATGTCGAAAGATAGATACATATATATGAGAAAGCTTATTTCGAATCTTTTAACAGCCAAGTGATCATGATTTTGACCATGACGCGTAGGACGAGCCACACTTTCCCTTTTACCTTTTCGCGGAAGTGAAAATGGTCAGCTGCGAGAGAATCGTCTATTACACGGCGACCTGATCACTTACAACTTCTCTTTCCCGACTCTTCTTTTCAAAATAGTTGTGCGCTCGTGCGTGATTCTTCGAGATCGGAACCGTTAACCTTTTCAGAGAGATGAATGATTCCCCAGTTGCTATACTTCGTTAGGTGAGACAGTATTATACACATAATGAGGTTACAATCTGGTACTGCTCTCTAATATATTATATGTAGGCATTCGCTCGCGTAACAAAGTAAACAGATTTTGATTGAAGGATAGATGATAAAATTGCCGCTTTCCTATGGACATAGGAAATAAGAGATCGTCGATTGGCGAGAAAAGAAAGGTAAATATAATATAACGTCGTGACAAAGGAATGTGAAATCCTCGTTTGCAACCCGGTCACGAATAAGAGCTAGATCCATATAATCGTGTACGTCGAGCCACCTCCCGTTTTCCGTTACCAGAACCTACTACTATTGTTCCCTTTAAAATCGAACTTCGCCGAACAACAACATTTACCTTTCGAGCGGACGAGAAAGAGTGGACCGCTCGATAGAAATAGTCGAATTGATAATCGGCCGATCGTTAATCGCCTGTACGAAAGAATTATTTATTTATTAAGTGCGTTCGGAATGTTACTGGGTCGTACGCGGGTCTATTCTCGAACTTCGATACTTGAACGTTTATAAAGAAGATAGATATTATCGAAGCGAATCACGATCAGGTAGCGTCCGGTCCGTTTGATCGTTTCAACGTTCAAGCTTCCCTCAGACGATCATGGTGGCCGAGCTCACAGACATTTATACAACGAACGCCGAACGGACAGCAGTTGTCGATAGACTTTGGAGAAGACCGAAATGGATCGAGATTGCGACTCGTGAACCGATTTACAGCGTTCTCGACGTTAACGAGCCGGTGGGCGCGAGGGTGAAACACCTCCCGTTGCCTTATCCGAATAAAAATCCCCTCGTTGTCGTGATAAGTGCGGTGAAGGACGGCCACGATAGAAACGTACCTAAGGATCTATGCCCTAAGTCGATTAAAAAATACGATAAGAATACGATAGGATACGATAGGAATATCGATTTGGAGGAGCACGCGCTTTATAGCGTCGTTAAAAAGAGAAGAGAGGTGCATTCGGTCGATAAGACGCAACGCGACGAGAAACAGCTACAAGGGTGGTTGCGTTTAACGTCTAAATTTTCAAGTGCTAATTATCCCTTTGACGAAATGTACGCCAACGAGAACGATAATGCCGAGGATAATAACGAGGATAGGAAGGACTATACGAATGATAAAGGGCATCCGCGCCTAAATGCCGTAGCCGTTCCCAGAGGTATCGTCGGTTTAGTCGGACCTTATAGAGTTTATCAAAATCCTAACGAGAAAAGAGAATATATGCTCCGGGAGGAAGAACTTGTCGAAGAGGATGTCGTGGATTCTGTTAGCGACGTCGACATATCTCGGAAAAATTGTCGTTCGGCCGAACCTCACAGAAGAGCAAAGTGGAAGATAAGAGAGGACGACGAGGAAATCTTGGTACCCGATATACGTCGTCTTCCCACGTCGTTTCAAGAATACGAAATCAATGGGACAACGGAGGAACTCGACAAGGTCGGCTTGAATATATCCGAATGGAAGATGTTGGACGAGCGTTGCAAGGAACGCGAGATCGAAGATACGAAGTTTCAGGGGAACGGCTTTCTCGACAACAAAATTGAAGGCATTCTTTCTGATAAGGAAGAAAGAGTTGCCGTTGACGTTGCCGTTGACGTTGTTGACGGTGACGTTGACATAGACGTTGACGTCGACACTAAAGCAATCTCCTCCGTTGACGGTCTATTGACGAAGGAAGGAAAGGGTAAGCTAGCTTCTCATTCGTCTAACGTTAAATTGCTTGACTAAACCCGATCGAGTACGATGCCTTAGAAATGCGATCCTGCATTCACGCGCACATTCGTACAATCGTAAAGATCTAGCTCGATGTCGAATAAAATGCATCGTGAATGAACTCGCTCGTTCGCAACGATCGGCGAACCGATTGCTGTCCCGCGATGCCAAAGAAGAAGGCCGTTCAAGAAAGACGGAAACATCTTTAGACCAGCGTGTCTATTTAGAGAGAATATGGCTTTCATTTGTATGCGAGACCGTAAGTCTCGCGAGACCGTACGGCATATTGTGTCGCGAATAGGGAAGCGAATAGCGGTAGTGCGCGAGACACCTGTTTCGTCTACACAACATACAAACATACATACACGTATTACCGATGCGTCCTACGATCTTTCAGATCAGAGGGAAGAGTTGAGACGCGCTTTTAATTATAATCCTAATTCGAGATACGTCCTCCTTTCGATTTTATGCGTAGGCAATGGATAGGTCTAAGATATAGTCGTATCGTAATAAATTCTTCCCCCGTTCTCGCTGTTGTTTGCACGATTAACGTTTACTACTTTCGTCGTAAAAATGTTACAACGGTATTTTCATGTCGCGTATGTATTTAAGGAAGTAATTGGAAGACATCTGTTGGTAAGAGGCCAGCAAATCATAATAGTCGAGAGGCATATGGGAGAGGTATCAAAAGGATGTACAACGCGAATATCTAGTACAATTGCTAAAAGAGAGTTTGCTGCAATCTCGCTTCCGCGAATCTTATTCAATCGCCGATAATTTCTTATAAGACGTTTCTCGACGTTACGTTTCTCAAAGGAAATATTTGCCAAAGCGTATCACGGTCCTTCGTCATTGACTTTATATAGTTATAGCAACAATTATTTCTCGTCATTATTCATTTCGAATAAGATGCGGACACTCTTTATGGGGACACGCATATAAAATGCATGCCTCGTGTGAAAGCAGATTCGCGCTTCATTTTAAAGACCGGCAAAGTCGTCGAACGAGTCGTACTCGTTTTGTTCTTTCAAACTTTCATCAAATTTCTTTCCTCTCATTTGGACCACTTTCCTCTCTCCCTGATCGCTGATCATAAGACAGAAGAGAGGTAACACGTTTGGGTTTTGGAGAATCTCGAAAATAATTCGAGGACGGCGACGGCGAGTGCTTTCGTTAGTGAAATTTCGGATGCGAGTCAATTGAAAGAAAGCGGACTCATTGGACGCTTATTTATTGTAGTTACGGACTGAAAGGAGGCTACGGAGAAACTACGTCATCGCGTCTCGTAATATCTCTGACGGTCTCCATCAGCGTCGACGCCGCCAACTAGTAGCACCGCTACTATCTTCGATGACGAGTCCGATCTTCTCTGGATCCGCTCTCTAGAATTATGCGGCATTCCGTTTTGTGATATCCTCGCGATCGTTCCTCACGCGAGAACGCGCGGTCCTTCCTTCGTCTACCGTAAGGCCGTCTAACATTTTCTTATTTATCCGTATGCGCATCGTTCAATAACCATACATACATTGTTCTTCGCGATGTACGACGATTCGATGCTCATCCTGCGGGCCAAACTCATTGCGAGGTAAATGAAATTTTCTAATTTACTTTACGACTTTTCGAACGAGCTTACCCGTTAAACTGTCACGGCGATTATCTTATGTCACTTCTTCGATCCTTTAACCGTTAATCTAAGCTATTTAATACACCTGCTTGCATTATCTTTATCCATATTCTTCGAGAAATCTCCATGGATCAGAAAAGTAATTTCACATACTTCCAGTCATTATTTTCTTTCTAAAAGTCAATTCCGTTATCCTCCCTTTTCTCCTCGCATTTCTCGGACATGCCTGCCTACGGTACGTACATATATTTTCTCTTCCTCGAAACCCAATCTCTCGCAGGCCATTCCATATTCATCCGTATAGTACTCCGTCAAACATATGTCGACTCGCTAGTGTTCATCGGCCACCAACTGACGGAAGTTGACTCTTGACATTTGACTCTTTTGAACATCAAAGTGCATCCTTTGCATCATTTACCTCGATAGATCGTGCGTCGTTGATTTCACGAACAACGGCTGCTGATATCTTTTAACGGCGAGCGCAAAAGAGAGGGGTCAGAGAGTCTGTGTGCGTGAGCGTGCGAGAAAGAGAGAAAACCTTCTTGAACGGGTTCTTCGTGAAGATGAAATAACGGAATACGCGCAGCATCCAACAGAGCTCATTAAATGCAATTTCGCGAACATTCGGAGGTATGTGTACTTACTTACCCCCATTCGACCGAAGAAGACTCGATTCGATCCAGGTACTAGAAGATGTATAAGACATAGACTCGCGCGATATCGTTTACATTTATTAACAAGCAAATGCCCAGGTGCGGGGCAGGTGAGGAGAGAGAGAGAGAGAGAGAGAGAGAGAGCAATGAACATTCAACTGTCTATTTTAGCCTACTCTTTTACTCATCTATCGCATACGATAGATACTCCAAACTACCTAGTATAAATAGGAGATCGACGTGCTTGCATCTTTGCATTTAAGCATGTATAAATAATCAGTTGCAGAGCGTTCTTCCGTTCCCATGCATGTTATTACGATCTATTATGAAGTTCCATCGTAACAATAGGTATCGTGGTCACTAGTAACTTTTTACAATGAATAAACATTCACTTTGCATGCAAAAGCTTAATAGCCTTTAATTCCTCTGGTTTCATTTCAAGCATATTATCATGGATACATGGAATATCCAAATTCGAAGGATCTTTGAAAAATCTTTGATTATCTTTACGAACAGTACGCAAATGCTCTGTACTTTTTTCTCATCTTTTATCGCAATACTTGCAGAAGTGAGCCAGTCGCATATTTAATCGATAAATATGTCGATAACAATCGTTAAAATGAGACGCAATTCAAACTACAGTCGAATAATACTCTGGTACAATCTGAAATGAAATTCTCTTTTCCCTAGAATTAATTACATGCTATTGCACTTGTACTAATTGCACACAATTTTACGCATCGAGAGATCATAACTTTTACTCGAAGGCTTACTCATGGCTGTACAAGCGCGCGTGCATAGCGATCGTAGCATCAAGCGATCGTGGATCTATTGAGAAATCAAAGTGCCTCAACGAAGGGATCAAATTTTATTTCTTCATAATAATTTCGATAAAGCTCCCGATGAAAGACAGACGATTTATTCATATTGAAATCGTATTTCACATGTTACAGCGAATAACGAACAGCAAGACAAGGACAGTTTGAACGAGACAGCAAGTACGACGGGTGGCAACGTGGAGGGCGTACCCAGCGGTACCCCTCCAGGGAGGGGTGAGAGGAACAAGGAAAATGAATCCGCGGCAGCGCAACCATCTTCCTCTTCGCCGCCATCGAGATCTTTGGTATCCAGGATTCTTGCGAGAGCACGATCGCCGAACGATTTGCTCGATCATACCGAGCCATTGTAAGAAACGCAACCTTCTTAAGAATGAATAACACAGAGAGAGAGAGAGAGAGAGAGAGAGAGAGAGAGAGAGAGAGGGGGGGGGGAAGGCAGAGCTACTCTCTAACAGAAATAGCAAGTAATTGTTTCCCCATCACGTTAGAAATCTTATGTATTTATAAAGCTAATTTTCTATTCCATAGTTCTCAATTATGGATCGTTCTTTCCAACGTCTACGGAGAATTGTTGATAGTGTTGATGATGGCGCTTTGTTTAGCCGAAGTCATGGATACGCCTGTTCCTCTTCTCAGCTTACAGGTACGCCGATTATTAACATCCGACGGATAAATCTATCTATGATCCTATGTGATAGATATATTCTATTACATGGCCATTGATTTTTGTTCTCTTCCGACATATCTGTCGTTTAATTTTCAAATATTATATTCATTTTAGGGTATCTTTTTGATGTATCTATACGTCGGAAGTATCGCCGTTATCATCGGCATTTATATTTGGGTACTGCTCGATAGCTGCGCAAGTCTAAACGGTACGAGAAGTGGGATGGTTGACGTCGAAATTGGTGGCACTTCCGTTACGAGATTCGGATCATTGAAACGTGCTCACATTTCTAGAGCCAGAACAGCACCGACGAGCTTTTACATTCGCGTCGGTGCACTTTGTGAGTAGACAAATTATTTGTTTTCCCTTAAAATAAATGGCACTTATAATGGAAAATAAATCGACAAATTGGAAATACTTTTCAAGTGTTCGGATTAGCCACTCTGGTCTTCAATGGCTTAGAAATGGCGATGCACTCGATGATGCAGGGCGCTGAATGCTTAAGCGACGTCATTTTTGCGCATCCTGTCTTGCATGGATTATTTACTTTTTTACAAATGCATTTTTTATTCGTCAATTCCCAGGTAAAAGATATAATATAATAAATATTAAATAATAAAGTATATTCGAGATTGTAACATTTAAATATATCCTTTCGTTTTTGATAGGTACTCGTCGAAAGATTCGGTTTAGCGGCCAGATTTGGATTCACGCATCTTGCGGCGACGAACATTGCCGTCTGGGTGCGTCTCGTTATTTGGGACTCCGCGCAGGAATGGACCTATTTCGTATACTTGGCACAACGGGGATCTCAAACTCCTGCATCCACATTGAATCTTCGTGGATTTCCCGGTTCTTTAACGAGACACTCTCGGGATCTCTTGGGTAAAAATCATTTTCCTTTCTTCATTTCTTCCCTTCATTTTTCCCATTGTATTGATTCTTATTTAATTTAATTATCTTACTCACGTCATAACAGTCGATACCTCGTCGGAAGATAGATCGGTATTCAGACTGTACCGACCAATTTCCAACGAACAAATCTCCCAAGTGATCGCCTTGCAAGAGTGCTTAAACACAAATACGCTCGGACAGTTGTGGACATCGAGTTTACCATTTCTTTATCCCTTCATCGTACAATTTAGGTTAGTTGTATTCGATGCGTTGCGATCGTATGAAATAATTACGTACGCAATATTTGCCCGTACTCTTTAAAAAGAGTATTGAGATTATTATTTTGTTTGTTTGTTTCTTTTTTTTCTTTTTTTTTTTTTCTTTTTTTTTTTTAGCTTGATCGCGGCCGCCGTAACATTCGTAATGGGACAAAATGTGGGCCGAAGTCGCGTACCGCAGAAACAAAAGTTTCACGGTAATAAGGATATAACGAGCCATGCGAGAGTGGGCTGTGACGGATCTAGTAAGGGTCTCTTCCTCGGTATACTCTGCATGGTAACCGGTATCGTAGTTATACTGATCTTCCTGGTGGTCAGAGAGGATGAACATTTCTCGACTGTGACATTGTCTTGGCTGACATGCGGTACCTTAATTGGGATTCTAGCATTAAGCTGCTTGATGACATCCACCGGCTTGATACAAATTCGTCAAATGCCTGTAGTAACGAGGGCACCCGCGGCCCTCGACAATCTCCTCTCGAACGTGGCCATTTTTGGCGTTCAACTTTATTCTATTTTCACCATCGTAGTATGCGCCTGTTCCTTGGCCTTACTCGAGGCGGAAACGCTCGAGGAGGGAGAAGAAAATGTAGATTCCTCATTTTCTTTTGGCGCAAGTAAAATTGGAGGACAATCGGAAGAAGGAAACGCAATCCAGACACGGGGAAGGCACATTATGTTACTGTCGGCCTCGATCTTGCAATTGATTCAATGTTTCGCTCAAAGCACCTTAATAGCCGAAACATCAAGGAGATCCTGCATAACGCGATTTCAGATGTTAGCCAAGCCAGGTCGTCAGGTCATCACTTTTCTTTTATTTAGTAATGCCGTTTTATGGGCTTTCGATACCGTAATCACGCAAAACTGGATATCGCAAGAGTTGCAATTAAGATTCTTTGGTGTTCTTGTTTGGGGCATCCTATCGAGAATCGGTTTACCGTTATTGATATTCTATCGATTCCACAGTTGTGTACTTTTATTAGAAGCCTGGAACAAGTGTTATAGAACACCACGGGGGGAGCATCCGCTCAACTGACGGCACAAAAGTCACGATCCAATCCATGTTTGTTCATCAAGGAAACTTTTGCAAGGATCGCAGAATCCACCTTGTCTGGATTATTCGAGTTATAACGAAGGGATGTTAGTCGACGTTAAAGATCAGGACAAAAAAATATCTTATATGATAGAAAAAATCCCGAAGGGATTATTATGTCGTAACACGCTAACGTTGAGTTCAAGACATTTTATTCCATATATCGATAGCTCTAGTTGGCTTTATTTAGATCCAAATCCCATTTTCCACGTTGCCAGACCTGCTACGTGTAGTCAATATTTGGAATATGCCATGCCGCCACCGAAAAGAAAAATCCATCGTCGTCATCATCACCACCACTACCACCATCATCATCGTCGTCGTCGTCACGAAAGGCACCGGCGAGTTATGAGTGATCCAGGCAGAGCAGAAACTTGTAATTCCCTCGATAATCTTTCTCGACCAAAACAACGTCGAAGAGGGTTTAGTTTCAGTGAATATATCGATGATGTTCCCGCTCCGATAGAGCAGACATCGGTGATACATCGATGGAACGGCGAAGATAAGATTCTACCGTCCGAGGAAACTAGTGCATCGACATTTAGAAAAGTGCCATGGCACCCCAATTTACATATGCTGAAAATAAGAAGAACGTGAAAGCAAATAAGCGCGTATCCGGCACTGTGGGAATACGATACGATACGATACGATACTATTCCTCCAAGTAACATCCAAGTTTGCGAGTATAGCCATTTTTCGCTCCATCATCTTGATTGATTATGAATACGCGCGCGCACACACACACACACACACACACACACACACACACACACACACACACACAATACGTACGAACTAACGTACGTAGGTGACATCAACTTTATTTATTGCACGCACTCAAGTATCGTCGATCCGATCGTTATAAATTTAGACTTTGCGTTACTTGCGGAAGAACGCAACTTGCTTTATTTATTTCATTAAAGCTATATCTTGTACATAGATACACGAATGGATGGAAAAATGCTCTCAAATGGATCTTTGAAAATGGAGAGGAAACAAAGTATTAATCTGGAATTTGTTTTGATACGTTCTTTTAAAAATATGAGGAAAAGGAGTTGTTTTAAACTTTTTAGAGTTTAATTCATATTATCTCCTTGTAGAATGATTTTATATAAATCTCCACGTAATGTTATCTCAGTTCTTATTATTAGGATAATATCATGTTTTCATTATTTTAAGAAAATTAAACAAATGATATCGGTCATTAAATTTCATTCGCGCGATCTACGTATACATATCTCGATGATGCTTTGAAAATGATATCGAAATTAGATAATAACGTTTCAGATAGGAATTTAAAGTAAAAAACCGTAAAGCGACTCGATTAATAAGTCGCGTATAATAACATAACCACTTGTCTAAGTAGACAAGTTAGACAAGTGGTTATATTATTATACGCGACTTATATAGCGTTATTAAAAATGCCAGGTGTAATGATCAGACGAATATTTATAATAAAATATTTTTTATGATCATAGGTTACTTCGTTTTCCAAAGAAAATATGAAGTTTAATGGGACCGCAATATACATATTTTATTGCGTTAATATCATTAACATAAAACGTAAAACTTTAATATATCGAGTTTGACTGAAAGATATTTCTTCATAGATACAACGTCTATAATCTGTAGATTTAACATGACAAGGCTGATAAATGAGATATTAATGCGCATCGTAATAGCGACGATCAAGTATAATATGTACATGCAAAGCAGCGTGACAAAGTCCACTATAAGTAATGTATTCTCAAGTAACTCTAATCGTATGTGAAAAACAACAAAACGCGTGGAGCTGTGTGAAAATATAAATGAAAATATCTTGAAAATAATGTTATACAACAGAGGGCAGAAAGCATTCTCGGTCTCGAGACTCCATCATCGATGCCGTCCTCATAGAATGGCGACCTATTTTCAAACGGCAATAATGACAATAATAACGTATAATAAAAAGGATATATAATATCATCGGAAAAATTAATCCTTTCTATTCTGTGTATGACATATTTCTTAAGTTAATTCTTCGTTATTTCTAAGAACATTGTATAAGATATAAATAAATTTACCAATCTTTACTGCGTAATCTAGTCAAGACCAACGTCATCTTGTGGTTGAGCTTGGGTCGAAGATTTTGGTGCATTAAATTGCGGAGCGTTTGAACCTGCGGAAAAACCTGCCATACCAGCCATCATATTGGATAAATTAGGCCTACCCGTGTCATCGTCAAATTTCTTTGCTACTTTCTCAATGAACGCTACGATTTTCGGATTTTTATGATATTTCCAAAGGCTCGTTGGATTTTCGTATATTTCTTTAATGGCTACGAATATCTCTGGATCCTGTAAAAAATTCACGTAAAGATTCTCTCTTTGGTATAGATCAATATGCACCGTATACGAACATATGCAGATACGTTCACTAGCTTACCATAAAACCTTCGAGCATTTCCGGATCGCATAATAAATTGTGGAAATCTTCCTTTTCACCTGGAGTTCCCTTCGTAGGCTCCTCCTTCTTCTCTTCTTTTACATTTTCCCCTTTTGCATGTCCCAACTTTTCTTCGAGTTTACGTTCTTTCTTCCTTTTGTGATCTTCGATCTTACGAGCCTGCAATAATAGAAATTATTCCAACGCGAGTAATAGAAATCGTTCAAATGACATTACAAATTAATACTAATTAGAAGGGTAAGAGAATTAGAAAAGATGTGTATGCATGCATGTACCTATACATACATATATACACACGTGTGCGTGTGTACATTTTTAGCCTCCTCCTCCTCCTCCTCCTCCGCTCTTGCTCGCGAAAGATATGGTCAAGTATTTTGGGATACATGGATAATATCGCTCTGTATCTTTATCTGATATAATCGCGCGATAAAAGGGTTAACCTGCGATATAACTTCAGGAACGCATCCAACGACTAAATCATTATGACGTGAACATGCCTGCGCGAGGTACATTGTGACCTCAGATGATTATACGTGCTTATTATAGACGGCCGAGTAGCCAATTTGGCTAGCAAACCTGTTCTTAAGAATGGAGAAACAAGTAAAATATGTTTGGTATCATTACATTGGAATATCGTTGGAATATCGTTCGATGATTATCGGATATACCAAGGATCACTCAACTTACTAATTGTTATCTAATATATTATATACAAATTTTGATCGTTTCACCGCAAATCCCGTGACCGCCGTCGTATTGATTGATAAAGGGATTAATTCTTAATTCTATCTTTCGATGTCGGCTTATTGACAAGAAGAATGAGGATAGTACTCGTGCTGACAGGGGGTCGGCGGAGGGGGATGAAGGAAGGAGGGAGGGAGGGAGAGAGAGAGAGAGAGAGAGAGAGAGAGAGAGAGAGAGAGAGAGAGAGAGAGAGAGAGAGAAGGAGGTAGGGAGGAAGTATAAGAACTTTTGCACGAGTGGCCCACCTTATACGGCGGCGACCCGGGCATCTAAATATAAAGGTGGCCGCCGTTGCGACGCTCCTTTCTGTCTGATGCGAAAGCGCGCATCCGAGAGCGCGCCTCGAGAGTCTTCCCTTTCAATTTTTATTACGCTCATTTAAAATTACTTTAAACGCTATAGAAAAAGATATAGCAAAATGGGAAAATCAAAAGAATAATAATTTATTATCGAAAACATTCAATGATATAGGAAGCAACCGTTCGAGTTGTATAGCGTTGACTATAATATAATTATTATATGTTTTCGCGTGCAATATGAAAAACCCACTCCTCTTTAGATATAGACGATTAATTCATTCGTCTAGAGGTTTGATAAGGTCGGAGCTCTCCTTTGGCTAACCAAACAAGAATTACAGCCCCGGGATCGGCGTACGCTTCTTAAATCTCAAGACGAGCGTATATTTAGATGTCGCCGATCATAGACACTGAATGAACGACCTTTGGGCCGCTCGAACTATGGCCCCATCGCAATTGCTAACGATTGCCTATGCTTTTACTTGCGCCCCTGTATAATATAGTCGCGAGATAAGATCGATTTGGGAAAATAATCTTAAATAATAATGTGCTCCCAATGTAATAATAAGAAATATCCATCGCTTTTCTTTCCTTCTTTTCTTCTTTTTGATAAAGGGAATATGAGAAAAGACGTATTCGATTTGGAATGAACATATTTTCCTTATTTTGACCGATTCGAATATTAAGAAGAACACGTCGAGATTACAAAAAAAGAGCTGCGGAATGAATGAAAAGAAACGAAAAAAGAAATAAATAAAAAATAGGAAAAGAAAAGAAATAAAGGAAAATCGGGGAAACAAGGAATAGGTATGCGTGGCGGACGAAATTTTGCAAGCAACGGAGAGGGGTGTCTTCGGGGTAGTACGACGGTAGTAACGATGCCAGTTCTTCGCAAGCGAGTTGGGCTCGAGCGTCGCGAGAGTGAGAGAAGCTAACAACAGCCTGGCTCATCCTGTAGTGTCTAGTGTAACGAAATGACGGGCTCGTGGCTGAGACCCGCGTTCTTCGTGGGCCTCTTCCTGAGCTTCCTAGCCATTGACTTGCGGGGTGAGTACGCGTTCGCTCTTTCATTCCACGAAAACGAATGAATTATTGACATTTCATTTTCCTTTCGTCCTTTTCAAACATTTCGTTGTCTACTGCCGTCTAACGTCAATCTTTCTTTTTCTTCCATTCGCTTCTGCGGCCTTTCATCATTGTCTACTTTTATCTACCTTCTTTCTTTCTTTCTTTCTTTCTTTCTTTCTTTCTTTCTTTCTTTCTTTCTTTCCTCCCACCTTTCTTTTTGTTTTTCTTTCTTTCGCACTCATTGCGTCATATTGATTTCTTCAGCTCGGCAAAAGTCTACTGTAAATCTTTTTCTTTTGCAAATAGAATGGCATCGAGGGCGTATCTCGAAATCGATCAGTTTTAACGATCCTTTCTAACAATCACGATTTTCATTTACGACACAGAGCGATGGAGATATGCTGGCGAACCCCTGTGACGATCGACCGACGAAGGTCAATGTTACGTAAAGAAGTCTTACTCTGCGTCACCATTTTTTGGCTCGTGACCTTTCCTCGAATCGAATTACCGTATAATCGATCAATTTTCATTATATCCAACTATCGAGGATAATTCTATAGTACATTCTATTAGTGTATTCTTAGAAAAAAGTTTTCTTGAAATTACAAATCGATAACGACCATAACAATGTCGCATAATACTGTATCAAGAATCGAACCATAATCGAGTATTTTTTCTTTTTTTTCTATAATACGCACGTTGAGTCCTTTGCCACATGGAGGCGTTATTAAAATTTAAAAAAGGCCCGTCATTTCGATGAAAAACAATGCAAAGGCAATCATTAAGACGGTGAAATAACAATTTCGATTCACGCTGATTCAAGGATTCGTTATTTCGGGAATCGAAGTACGACTCGTACTGACTCGTGTAGTAATTACATAAGAAGAAAACGTTTGGATTCCTAACCAGCGAGAAGATATAAACAAAATGTTCTATCGATGTTTTAACATACGTACATCTTATATTAGTTTGATTCAACTACATAAAAATAAGCAACTTTTCTCGCGAGTCTCGTTGGATGCTTTTCAGGGAAAAGAAAAAGAAAAAGAAAAAGAAAAGGCATATAACGGAGAATTTCCATTTGACGAATATGACGGAATATCGAAAAATAGTTGACGATATAACATATAAGACAAGACACGAGATATTCTATTTCTATCCGTGACAGTTGCACTTGCCAAACGACAGCTGCATGCTTTTAGTTCTCAATTTCGCTAATAGATATCCTAGAATTTTATTGAATTTTCCTACGTGCACGTTTTCTGCCCTTTGCTTCTGTCACACACAGATTATCATCGTCGTTACGTAAACTGTACACGCACAATCGCCAATTATATATTATAATGCATTATATAGTACATTCCAAATGAAAGTTCCTATAAAGCCATGATTAACGAGATATAAATCGCTACTGAGTGTATTTATAGATCGGCCTTTACAATGTTACAAGATAATTCTTAGTTAAACTTGTATAGTATTTTTTTTTCTCGTTTGCAGATAAAAATAAATTTCACTCATCCAATATATAAATATTTCCAACTGTTTGCTCGCTTCAAAGCCGCCTACCCACCGCTAAACTTAGAAATCGGCCTCGCGTTTCCCCAGGTATACCGCACGACGAGATAATATCGGCAATTTCTTCGTCTAACCGATCGGTCCACTCTCCCCCACCCCCTATATCCCTTATAATTTAAGATTTATTAAAATTTGATTTCATCTTTATCATTTATTCGACTGCCTCGAGCACCGCATTCATTTGTAGAAATGATGAATTTTCGATACGAGAGGTCTAGAGATCGAACGGATCCTCGCTGACGCTACTTCGAAACAGCTGTCATTGCTCGTAGATAGACGCGCGCACTGCTTTGAGCAATTGTGCCATCTTGTTTTCGCATCGCACGCATGTACGAAGAATTATTGAAAGAAAGAATTATTGGAATCTTGCGTAGAATCGAAAAAGGGGATTGCATTCGGAGAAAATTAGACGAGTTGATCGTTTCAGGAGTGCAATGCGAAGAAGAGTTAGAATCGATACCACCGGAAGACCTTTGCCGGCCTTACATCGAGAAGGCACTCAAGGATCTCGGCACAGGTAATAGTTAAATGTTCAACGATTTCAGGTGGAACACAGGGATTTCTAGGATATTTCATTTAAAGGATCTTTGGAGCAGACCAGTGCAGAGGCCGATAATGTCAACGACGAGGAGGGACGCGAAGAAGAAGGGTCGGCTATCAGTGAGGAGGTGCAAGAAAAAAGCCCTAATTAAGCTTACGCGATTGAACTATGATGTTAAGGCCAAAGCGAATACTTTTTTTTTTCTCTTATGATTTTTCGTAGGCCGACCAATCGACAGAGGAGGATAAGGACGTAGATCGATTGGAGGACGAAACCGATGGCACCGAGGAGACGGAAGATTCATCTGGAAAGACCGATGAGGTCGGCATAGAAGAGACAAAAGGTGCGGATATTTTGGAGGAAGCCGAGGATGAATCGAACAAAGTCTCTGACGAGGACGATCAAACGGACGAAATAATAGACGAGGAGACAAAAGGAGGTAAGTTGTAAAGACGATTACATAATATCGCAATAATCGCGACGGGGGCGACAGAAAGCGCGAATTTTCTTCGCTTGCAGACAAGAGCGAGGAAAAGGATGAAGTGGTAGGAGAGGGCGAAGGGGAAGAGGAGGAATCCGTTGAACCGAGAGAGGAAGATCGATCCGAAGAAAAAACGGCTATCGAGGAAGAAGAGCAAAGGTCTGCCGAAGTAGAGGCGATTCGATCGGACGATGACGATTCGATCGAGGCCGCCACCAAGTCATCCGAAGAAGCTCATGCGAAGACCGACGACGATATAGACGAGGAAGAAGTCCACCGTACGGGCGATGGAACTGCGTCGTCTCTTGGGGAAAATGAGAACGAAGGAAAGGAGGATAGTGCCGATAAGGTCGGAGAAGGGGAAGAGGAGGAGGAGGAGGAGGAAAGACCGGACGATCAAGAGGCCGATGCCAAGGAGGAAGGTTCTTTGGAAAATGAAAAGTCGGACGAAGTCGAGACCGACCGAGACGAGACCGAGATCGGCGAATTATCGAAAGAAGCGAGCGAGGAAGCGAGCGATTACGAGGGAAAGGTTCAGAGTGTAGAAGAAGAAGAAAATGCAAGCGAAGAGGAAGGCAGTAAAGAGAAGGACGAGAGCACGTTAGAGACGACGATTATATCCGACGAAGAAACGTTGGAAAAAGAAGAAGAGAAAAGTACGAAACGGCAAGAGGAAGAGGGGCAGGGGGAAGGAGAAGAAGGAACGAAAGAGAAGGAAGAGACAGTCTTGTCTCGTAGCAGACGAGAAGCTTATGACGAAAGCGAGGAAAAAAGACCGTTAGAAATTCCCCAAGAAGATAAAAGCGAAGAGGACGAGGAAGGTACATTCGATAAATCATATAGTATTATTCTATACCCGTAGACTACTAATTACGCTTTTGCTATTAGAAAAATAAGATTTGATATAAAATAATAGGGGCTTCCTAAAGAGGATTAAATCTAAATCTAAATAGATTGTAGATTTATTCTCAACTAATTCACGAGTAAGATATACGTGTATAATCAATCTAAAATCTCATATTAACAAAAGTTGAAAGTGAAGAAGAACCGAGCCCCGAGGAGGATTTGATTCGAGAAATACAAGTGCCGGAAAATCTTCGACCGCGCGATCACATCAACCAATTGTTAAAATTAGACGAGGAAAATGAAGAAAAGGAGCGTGCCATACAGAAAGTTTCCGACGTTGTCTTGAGAGACTTGAAGAAGCTCTACGATAACGCGATTCAACCTTTGGAAACGCTCTACAAGTATAGAGATCTCAGTAACAGACACTTTGGAGGTAAATATAATATCGATTTGGATCCATCTATTCCCTTCGATCTCTTATTTCACTTTTTTACCTAGATCCCGAGATATTTTCTAAACCGTTGGTACTCTTCATGGGTCCTTGGAGCGGTGGCAAATCTTCCATCATCAATTATTTATTGGACATAGAGTATACGTCGATCGCATTGCGGACAGGTATGTGAATCAAATGACATGAAAATGTTGCGAATTTTCAGACTTAAGATCGGTGCTGCCTCGCATATATATATATATATATATATATATATATATATATATAATACACGCGGATATAATTTAATCGGACAATGTTAATGGTACGTTTGAAAGAGAGAATACATTTTGCAAATCGGCAAATACGATTGACGCAGGAGCTGAACCCTCTCCCGCCTATTTCAACATCCTAATGTATGGCGAGGAGGAAGAGGTTCTAGATGGTACGCAATTGGCCGCCGATTGGACTTTTTCTGGATTACAAAAGTTTGGCCAAGGGATGTTGGATCGTCTTAGAGGGCTGCGCTTCGATAACAAGTTACTCGAAAAGGTAAAGACGATCTTAATCGTATCGGTCACATTTACAGGAATTTATCTCTCATCCAAACAGGTCAATATCGTCGAGATACCTGGCATATTGGAGATACGCAAACAAGTTCAAAGATTGTTTCCGTTTAACGACGCGTGCCAATGGTTCATCGACAGAGCGGACATTATTTTCCTAGTCTACGATCCGTCGAAATTAGACGTTGGACCCGAAACAGAAGCGATTTTGGATCAACTCAAAGGCCGTGAATATCAAGTAAGTGAGAACCGATGATATCTCATAATATGTAAATCCTTTCGATCTTCATTTAATCTATCCAACTTTCTTCCCTGATACACGACAGACACGAATTATTCTCAATAAAGCTGATCAAGTCAAACCGGAAGAACTTATGAGAGTCCAAGGTGCACTCATTTGGAATATATCTCCGTTAATGTCTAGCGCTGAACCGCCGATAATGTATTCCACTTCCCTATGGTCTTTACCTTACGAAACTGGCGCACCGACCAGGCTATTGTACGCGCAAGAGCGCGCTTTCCTTCGAGATTTGCGTTCTGCCATTGACAAAAGGGTTGAACATAAAATAGCCAGCGCTAGGAGATTTGCTGTAAGTTTATCATCCGTTGCTGATCGTTTTATCATCCGTTCGACCAACGAAAAAGTCTTCTTTCTTTCCGGGAGAGCCATTAAAAATAACAACTATATTTTCTTCTACTTACAGGTTCGCGTAAGAAATCATGCAAAGATGGTAGATTGCTACTTAACGACATATTACAATCATAAAACCTTTTTCGGTAATAAGAAAGAGATTAGTGACAAGATCGTTGAAAATCCTCAAGATTATCATATTTACGAAGGCTTGAGTACTCTTACCAATATATCACGTTATGATCTTCCCGATCCAGACGTTTATCGGGATTTCTTTCGATTAAATCCTTTATATGACTTTCAGCTTTTAAGTTCAACTTGCACTTATTTCCGCGGTTGTCCTATAAATAGACTTGACGTTGCTATTGCATATGATCTGCCAGAACTCGTTGGAAAATATAAGAAATCTGTAGAAGTGGTGATGCATGAGAATGAGGCTAGTAGCCCATCCAGTTGAGTACAAATGCACCTTCTAAATGAAATTCTTTCTACCATGTAGAGTACAGAATAATGGCTTATTTTCCTTTTACTCTACGTCCGAATAGATAAAATGATAAATTAAGATGATTGTGCACAAATACAGTATTTTTCACAACGACAGGAGAAATCTGCTCCCATAATTATGAATTTAACGACCTACTGCTACAATTTATTGGGAGTAGACTGTGCTCGGGCATTGTGCTGGGATAGAATTACATACGATCGAAATGCACATCACTGTACATTCTCTATAAAGAAGATGAATAACGAGAGAAAGAGAGAGAGAGAGAGAGAACGTATGAACGAACGAACGAGAGAGAGAGAGAGAGAGAGAGAGAGAGAGAGAGAGAGAGAGAGAGAGAGAAAGAGATATTTTAAGCAAGCGTCGATGCTGCAAACAAATGTGTTTTAAAAGCCACAAGATTCATAATTTATGAAGACAACTTATGATTATCCCAACATGTTTTTCATTTCGATTTGTTTAGAGCGATCTCAGCAGTTAAATTACTAACTTGCAAATATCTCAAACAATCTCCTCTTTTAAAATTATGCTTGCACCTGGAAGATAATGCGAGTGTTATCATTCCGACATAAGATGAACAGTAAAAGTTTTCCTTCAATGTGTTCTAACATTAAATTATCCATCATCAGATTAGCAGATGCACATTTCATAATTTCAACAAATGTCCTATTAACAATTTGAAACAAGTATATATACGTAGTGAATTGAACAAAAAAGGCAGACAACTTAACTTAAGAGAAAATAGAATACACGGTGAACTGTACGCATTAAAAAAAAATGATACTAAACTATGAGCAATCTATCTACTAAAACTTGTTCATAATACTTAGTAAAGAGTATAATTACAAATAATATTTCCATTGTAAAAAAGTAAAGAGAGAGAGAGAGAGCGAGAGAGAGAGAGAGAGAGAGAGAGAGAGAGAGAGAGAGAGAGAAAGCAAAAATCCAATGTCTGCAATTAAAAGCAAAAGATAGCATGTTACATTTCCATATATCTTCATCTCATTATTTCATATTGCACAATTTTCATCTTTTACATAATGCTAAAATGATTGTTATTTAGTTTATTTACGTATTTTTCATTGTATGCATTTTATATGTAAGAAACCTAAAATGATTGAGATACTGCTTCGAAATTGATGATCGGTCGTTACCGTCTTTATCCTTACCCATATGATAAATTTTAAGTTACTTGTTGGCGCCATACTGACACATAATCACACAAACCATTGACTTATTGTTAATATACGAATTGTTGGTGTTGTTATGATTATGATTATGATTATGATTATGATTATGATAATGGTAATGGTAATAATTATTATTAGTACTACTACACTATTACACTATTACACTAGAGAAACAGCAATAGTAACGGCAATGGTAACAACAACAACAACAACAACAACAACAACAACAACAACGACAACTACTACTACTACTACTACTACTACTACTACTACTATTGATACTAATAATACTACTATTGCAGGTACTACTGCTGATACTACTAGTACTATTATTGTCGTTAATATTAATATTACTGTTATATTATTTCAGTTGTTGTTATAGGTATTATTGTTCCATATTATAAGATACATCGGATAAATTAGATGACTTATTTTGCAAAAATAAATATTTCTTTCTAAACATTCATTCTTGATCATTCGAAAATCTTTTAGAATCAGACTAAAATGGAATGAAATTTGACGTTTATAACAACAGTGTCACTTGAAATGAAAATTCAATTCACAGAACAAAGTTTTCTCTTAATACTATATGACGGTTGGAAATTGTTTTGGCAAGAAATAATATCTTGAAAATAATAATTCTATAATTGCTTCTCCGTCATATAAAAGATATGTTAGATTACGACAGATACGTTAAAAATATTATAGAGTCAAAATATTGAAGAAAGAAAGAAAGAAAGAAAGAAAGAAAGAAAGAAAAAAAGAATGAAAATTTACTTACATTTGGAGTAGCTTCGCGCAGCCATTCGTCCGCTTGTTCGTCAAAATCAAATTTACAAGCGAGTCTCAAGTCATTCGCTGCTTCTTCCCATTTTCCAAGTAAGTGATAGGCTCGTCCTCTAAATTTGTGACCTGCTGCACTATCAGGATTCAATTCTAATGCTCTATTACAATCGCGAATGCATGCATTAGGTTTGTTCAATAGTAGATATATTTGTCCACGTTTAGCGTATAAAAGTGCTGCCTGTGGATTTAATATAATAGCTTCTGTATAAAGCTGTATAGCCTTTTCATAATCTTTCTCTGCAAATGCTGAAACAGCTTCCGAACGTTTCGCTTGAGACTCTGCAATTTCTTCTTCCGTCGGTTGCAAAGTAGAGTTTCCCATTTCTTGAGGCTCGTCAGTGTCTGGTTCTGCGTGTGTGCGCGCGAGCATGTGTGTATGAACAAGCAAAATAAGAAAAAATAACGATTTAAAAATGCCTAAACAATTTAGCATCGATATCTTATTTGTTTCTCCAATGGATTAAATTTCTTTTAAAGAATTATTCTCTCAACCATGCTCACCTATAACTCCTGTCATATCTAATTCCAAATCACTTTCTTCGCTTTCTACTTGTGGTTTAGATTCAGTTTCCTCGGTCTTGCATTTGGTTTCACTTTTTGTTTCAGAAATTTCTACTTTACCACCAAAATGCTCTATTAATGATTTAACAAAAGCAAATTCTGGTTTACACAAGATCGAAGGATCCAACTTGCACAATTCGACGAAGGCCTTTACTTCAGCGAGATGTTCCAAGCTTAAATTAGGTACTGACATTTTGCTATCTGCGAAACGAATGAAAATAAATAAATCTTATTAAATCGTCTTACGAAAGATAACGAATAAACAAAATATTCGCTCCTCGCTGACAGTTATAAACTATTACTTGAAGATTTCAGTTATCGAAGAAGTTAGTATATTATTTTATTCTTTCTGTATTTCTTCTTCCTTCCTGCCTTATCCGCTTAACAAATATCTGTCTTCTTTCTACGATATAATGTGAAATAAAAAAAGAAGCGAACGAACGAATGAGCGAGCGAATGAGCGAGCGAGCGAGGGAGCGAGAGCGCGCGCGCGAGAGAGAGAGAGAGAGAGAGAGAGAGAGAGGTTAACTTGTTTTAAACCACAATTATTATATCGTGTCAAAGCAATATTACGAATTAATAATACGGAAAATACGACAAACCGTCCTATGACTAATCGCTCTATGGTATCTTCAGCGAATCTTTTCTCTTCTTTTTCAAATCAATTTATCTTTTATACACCATATAATATGTTACTTTATTGTCACTTAGCTGCATAGGATTAAAATTCAGTCGAGTTCTTCCTCACCTACAACATTTTCATGAACGTAATCAATAATTATGCCTTTATTGTAAACGCAGCCAAATACCTTTTCGAATAACATTTCCTAGCGCTTTCCAATGTTACGATTGGTTAACAAAAGAGAAGAAATTTCTATTTTTTATAACAATTATTTACAAGTGCAACGTAATACAAATATTGCATGTAATTTGAATTTTGGAAAACTTTTGATATCTATTATGGAAAGAAGAAAAAAGAAAAAACATGAGAAAGGAAAAAGGCGTATAGAAACATTTAGAATTAGAATTATTAGTAGTATTTTCTTCTCATTGAATTTTTTCCCTAGCATAGGTCTGTCTGCCTGCGCTCTGCAATGCGCTCAAACAGTCATGTATTGTTACGAATGAAATATGTAGATATCATACTCGGGAATAGATGTAGACACAGGCGCGCGCACACACATATTGAATCAAGAGTAGAGGATCAATCAAAGAGAATTCTGCAGAAAGGCAAAAGTTAACAATTGTCAGGTATAATGGAACCATCGGCAAAAAAATTAAAAATTACTGACGATCCCGAAAGTGAAATTGACGTTATTAAAAGTGACGATAAATATAAAATAAAAATGGATGTAAGCTTTGAACTGGACGATCACGGGGGAGTAATTAACTTGGACGATAAATCGAACGAAAAAAAAGAAGATCCGATTTTCTTAACAGATGACGATTCATTTGTATTTCCACCTGACAACGATATATCCGATATGTTGGAAGGCATCGACTATAGTGGTTCGTTACCAACTATTACCGAACGTTACTTTTCTACGTATTATAAAGTTGACGTTCAAAGGCCCGGAGACGATATGTGTATCAGAGTACACAGTAATCGTATTTGTTTGATTTCGTTAGCACCGAGTCATAATATTTTTCAAAATGATAACAAAATATTAAAAGTTGATTACAAAGTAAGCGACAAGTTAGATAGGATGTTAAATAAGGTCTCTGGAAAAAGTAAACATGGTGCTCAACCATTACAAATTAATTCTAACATTTGTGCAATATCTTGTTCGGACGGACAAATATACACAATAAAGTGCTGTATTATTGGGAAATTAATAGAAGTTAATGAAATATTATTGCATTATCCTGAACTTTTAAAGGAACCACCGCACAAAGGAGGATACTTGGCCCTTGTGCTGCCTAACTTAAAGCTATTGGATAAAATAAAAGATACATTATTAACATCGGAGGAATATAAAACATTTATACTCTCGCGATCTAAAGTCTAAATTTTTTAATCGCTAATTGATTATGTTAAGACAATAATATAGTTTGCCTTTAACGAAAGTATAAGATTATTAATAAAAATACATATATAAGATTGTAATTATTTTTGATATAGGATCATCATAGCTTATGAAAACTTAATAGGAACGATATCTTTAAGCGCATATCCTTAAAAATAACACTTATAAATAATCTTATTAACGATCATGAAAGAAGAAAAAGGGGGCAGAAAACGAGAGAGAGAGAGAGAGAGAGAGACATACAATATGCAAGTATTGTGTATTTTCTTTCTCTGATAAAATAACTTATATCAGAAAACTATAAATTTGGTAACTCAAACTCATCAATGGCACTCTAAAAACCCGTATATTTATTTTATACAATCTTTCTCCCTATCTTATTTATTTTCTTCATCTTGTTTCTTTCGAGGATCTTTCAGTAGATTACTCAAAATAATACCTACAAAAATTATCATACCTATTCTCTGATTAGATACAAATTTATGAGCACAATCTTTAGGATTATTGATATCCAAAGTATTTATCTGAAACCGAATATATAATATTATGGTTGTATTTATAGCAATTTACACACACATATTCTGATATATATTAATCACAATGGTAAGTTTTTACCTGACTGACGAGATGTTTTCCAGTTAATCCTACTGCTACGTAATACGGCCAAGTTTGCGCAGTTACAATACCAGACGTTAGTAATCCTGCTATCATAGATATACCAAAGGCAGACAAATACAGTTGCGTTTTGTCTCCGAACTTCAATGCGGTCGATTTAATGTTTAATAGTAAATCATCTACCTTGTCCTAATATATTAATATTCTTAATAACGTAATAGTGTTCTTAAACATCATAGAAACGATGAAACGCATCTACGCTTACTTGGTGGGCATAAATGGTATCATATATGATAGTCCAACAAATTCCACTGATATAAAGTGGTAAGCATATAGACCAATCGCATGATCCTCGCACTGCTGACCATCCTAAGAGAGCTCCCCAATTGAAAGTCATACCCAATATAAATTGAGGCCAATATGTTACTCTTTTCATTAAAGGATAAATTATTACCAAGCCTGTAATGAATAATAAATATGATATATCTATGCGTTAAATCTTCTTTATTCTTTTATTTTATCGATAAGCAACAACCTAAAGAACTTGCACCAAGTAAAACGCTATACCAGTTCAATTGTAATAGGACAAGTAAACCTAAACTCAATTGTCCTCCAAGAAAAATGAACGACTGTAAATATGTAAGTTGTCCAGTAGCCAAAGGTCTATCGTTTGTTCTTGCTACCTAACAAAAATTTTATATATTTCATAGAATATTATAAAATTGCATGATGGTAATAAGTCGAATAATAAGTTTAGATACCATTTTGTCGATATCACTATCCCACATATCATTTATGGTACAACCAGCGCCTCGCATTATAAATGCACCTATTCCAAATAGCGTCAATAATTTAAGGTCTGGTAAACAAGTTGGAGATGCTGCCATGGCTATACTCCAGCCGCAAGGCCAAAATAACAACCATGATCCTGAAAATGCAGGATCATTTATTAATATATACAATAATTATAGTTGAGTCCAATTAACGTATATCTTACCTATAGGTTTATCTATTCTCATAAGCCTCATGTATGGTTGTATTTTTGGAGAAGAATTATTCAATATTCTAGCCGCTAATCTCGAATATCTTCTCTCCTGACAATTGGATAAATTAATATAACATAATGTAGGTAATCCTAATAAAGGTTTAACTTTATCGTCTACGTCAAATTGTATTTTATATTTGTACTTAATTTTGATAGAGGATAAAGTATTAAAATTCTTAAAGGAACATAAACTGCTTAAAGTTATCTTGATCTGTTTTTCATTAAAGTTATTAATATACGTTGATAATCCATAAAATGCGCCCAGTTTTTGACCACTTCTTATTAATAACATGGTTTTATATTTTATCTGAAATGTACGTTTAATGAAAAAAGAATTGGAATGGAGCACATTATATATTACACATATACATATACATACATAAATTAGCTAAAAGATTATTAAACAAATTGAAAAAACATAGATGATGTTACATAAGCACATAACAATCACCTCACGTTGATAGAATTAAATTCATTTACTCGCCTTTTTTAATCTTCTCAAATTATAGATTCTATTATAATGTCAACGATTTATCTCAATATGTGATAACAATAATGACGTATATTGCATATCTATTTAAAGTGTATTTATTTGAAAAAGTTCACATGACTAATCACATTATTGATAGATATCATCGTCAAATACTGAATGTAATCATGTTCGGCCAAGTAAGACTGCTACTATATTATTGATTACCTAAAATAATCGTTGTTAAGTGTAAAAAAAACGATGAACATTGAAGAATTTATCGCAGAAAATTTTTCTGCAATAATTTTATTTCTCTATACAAAATTCCTGCGTATTGTAAAAATCTACGTATATACGAGACTTTGCACTCGTACCATTCTTGCTCTTGTCACGAGCCAATGAGTTAACACAACTTATGTATAATATATATGTGTATACATAAAGAAGTACAAAAAAGTAGAGGTAGAGATAGATATGTACACACACACATATATATATGTACATATATATATACATATATATATATATATATATAGAGAGAGAGAGAGAGAGAGAGAGAAGATAATAGCGCTGCTCTCTGCAGCGAATAGGTTAAATAACTCAAATTTTTGCCAAAATAAATATTACTTGAACTTAATATGGCAGATTATTTGGCTCTGTTCCTTGAATATATTCCACATGTCTGATGGATTATGCGAACTCTCAGTTGCCTTTAGACGAATCGTCGAAGAACGATCCTTACCAACTAATCAACGATAAAAATAACTATAATGTTGCATTGAAATTCACAGGTGTCACAGCAGCTACGTCTAACGGATGCTTCGTATTGAATCATTTAATATATTTCGTAATGTTATTGCAAGAAGCAAATGATATTAAAAAAATAATGTTATTGGATAATAATTGAAGTAAAAAAGAAACTTGCATTATAGGCCTTTATAATAAACTTTAACAAGATTCGAAAGTGGTACGAGTGCGACAGGATAATACGACTTTTTATTATAAGATACAAATCCATTAATATTAGGAACATATTAAATGATATAAAAGAAAATGTTACACAATAATACATGAAAAATTTATAATACACATTTGAGAGAAATAAATCTGTTTTTAATTTCATTATAATGTCCATTCATATGTTGATAACCCGTGACAATTTTTGTACTCTGTTAAGGAGCAAGTCTCCTTGCTTTACCATCGCCTGGTATTGCCAATTTTTACTATCTGGACGATTAGTTTCTACTACTCCGCCAACGCGATCGACCTTACAATGTAATCTCCCAGCCGCAATAAATCTTGATAATTCCCTGGAAATCCAAAGAATAGGGATGTTAAAATATGTGCCAATTGTACGTATTAATTAATCATAAAGCAATTAAGGAAGGTGAGAGGGGAAATAAAAAAAGAAAAAAGAAAAAAAAAAAAAAAAAAAAAGAAGAAAAGAATGAATCGCGAAAAAGGACATAGCTTACTGATCTATATATTCTACGGTAACACCAAATGCTTCTGCCATATAATGTAACGTTAAAGAACGGTACGACTCTAACAACTGTGTGTACGCAAGAATGCGCATTTCTCTGACGTAATATCTGTAATGTGGAAATATCAAATAATCTCTTCTTAGTAATCCTTCGACTTGGGCTGAAAGAAAAAAAAAGCAACAACAACAAAAGTAATAAAATGAAGATGTTAAATTAAATGAAGAAGAGAATATTTTAATGACTGCGTTATTTTTTTACCAAGATTCTTGAAGAACTCAGCATAGTGACAATTGTAGAGAGAAAAGAGATAATCCTTAACATCTGAATTGCTGTGCAATACTTCTAAAATCTCTGATCCTTTAATGATCTTATCGCGCAATTCGTTCCTTGGTAAACTTATCATGCTCAAATAAACGGTATATCTTACAAATGTATTGTAATCCATAAGTTCATAACTTGTAAATGTGCTTATTGTGTCCAAAAAGAAGTTTGCCGCTTCTTTAAAATCGCGCACTGCTATACAATAAGTTCCCTGATATACTTTCAAGCGATTTCTTCTATCCCAATCGCCACCCTCTTCGATTAAACTAAAAATTTATATATACGCATGTTTCGTATGCTTTTGCTAAATTCATATGCGCTTATAAAATATACCTTTTAGCTTTTTCTATATTCCTCGTTATATGATCGTGATCCAAATAAAACAAACCAATTCTAATATTATGAAATACAATGTCTAATCTATGGCCCAACGATACGGTTTTGTCGTAAGTTTTTCTAAACGCCGTTATCGCTCCTTCCTTATCTCCAATTCGGCAAAGATGTTCAGATTTTTTAAGATTAGCCTCTCGTACTTCCATTTCTCCTAAATTCTTCTCAGCATCCTCAATTGCACCATCCAGCTCTTTTAATTGTTCCGCATTACGGGCCCTCATGTTGGCCAAAAGCGCTTCGTCTACTATCCAACTCAAATCTTTGCAGACTTCTTCATAAAATGGTGCCATATCTGTTGAATATATGAAATTTTGTACTCTAGTTAGTGGGCAATCAGTTTTCCCTTTTCTTTTTGTACATTGATAACGTCCTACGTTATCCTTACAGTAAATCTTATCACGTTAATGTTATCGGTAATATAAATATTAAAAAAATTCAGAGAAAAGTTTGGAAAATATAATAATAAATATAATAAGGATATATAATGGGGAGGAAAAAAAATGCAAACTCACTTTCTGCTTTAATGGCATCAAGCAGTTTAGTTTTCAAGTACGGATCATCGTGATGCTCTGGAAGGCTTAATAAAAATTTAATTTGCGCCAATTCTAAATTGGGATTTTTTTCTAATCCTTCCTCTTCTAGATTTTCTAACGGCATTTTTACGGGGAACAATTAATAAACCAACATGGACAGAATTAATAGACGACTACGCGTATTTATAACGATACACCAGGAACGTATCGATGATACATAGAACGGATTGATCTCGAGAGCGAAGTTCTTAAAGATTTAAGGCGTAGATTTTACCCATGCTTCACTTGCTCCTAGGAGAAAATGCGACTGGCCAATCCCATGATCGTCGGCCCATATATATATGTGTATATATATATATATATATATATATATATATATTCCCTATATATAAGATCGATAAAAGACTAGATTTTAGCGCCAATCGAACGTAAGCCTTTTGCTTTCTTTTCGCGTTTATAAAGAGGATGCAACTCTTAGGAAGAGAAGTATATGGTATAAGGGATACATAAAAGAACGATCTTGGTTATTTCATTATCTTACGTATAATTTAACAAAATAGAATCGGTTCCTTCGCCTTACATGTTGCAAAGTTAAGTTATTATCGTACGAAGCGAAGGGCATATATATATATATATATATATATATATATATATATGTATATATATATATATGTATATATATATATATATATATGTATATATATATGTCCATTCGATACTTTGCAAATTTTGATGCAATCGTTGATCCTGTGAAAGTAATGAAACGTGTAAAAAAATCTAAAGGCAATTTAAAAGATTTATAAAAAATATTAAGATGTGATGTGTGCGACGTGATGCGTATATAAGTATAATATACACAGTAGATGCGCGCACAAGAAGAATCGCAAAGAGGAAGAAGTAGTAAATTTATTGGAATTATATAGCTTTCGTGACACCATCGATGTCTATAATTATGCGCGTTGCCGCAAGTTATCGTTGGATAGAAAAGATTCCTCCTCGTAACGACTTAATGATTATTCTAGCTTGTCGTTTGATACAGTCTAAATCGTGTGCATATGTGAAAATGAAAACACATTACGATACGTTAAAAGTATCACCGAATGCTACTCAAAACGAAATAAAATCATCTTATTATAAATTGAGCATGCTATATCATCCCGATAAGAATAAGTCTGAACATGCAAAACGAAAATTTCAAGATATTTCACAGGCATATAACGTATTGAACAACTACCAAACACGCATACGTTATGACAGATCGATTATGATAAAAGAAAACATCGAGGAAAATAGTCCTAAAGTGACTTATACGTATGCTTCTGTTTACAAAAGTAAAATAGATCCAATGGCAGACAAATATTTTAATTTCAAAGAATGGACTGTTCAGCATTACGGTGAAAGTTTATATAGAGGAAGAAAGAAAGAAAAATTTATGAAGGAAAACAAAATAAATATGACTGAAAACAATAATAATAATAATAAACATGTACTTTCATTTTGGGCAATATTATTTCTGATAGTTTACTTGGTTTCACTGATTCATTCGTTAAAATATTCTAACAATTACGATGTATCAAAACTGAAAAAGAAAGAAACGTAAATTTCAAATATATCGTTGTATAGTTTAATCGTTTAAGAGTAGAAATTTATTGATATTACATATAATGTAAATTACTGTAAATAATTACATTTGTGAAAAAAAAGTATTTCTTAGTATTTTACCCATCTCAATAGTGCTTGCTGTTCAGACGACATTTGTGTTTGTGTGTACATTTATTTAGGCGCGCTACTCTTCGAAATGAAATTATTTGTGAGAGGTAGACTGTAGATAGGATTAATACCTAAATACGAAAATATACATATTACAATTATATACAATTCAAGGGACAATAACTATTTTCGAAGCTTTATAAACTAAACTTTGCATCATTTTCAGAAAAATCCAAACTCCTATGAAATATTTCAATCATCTTTTGTATTTTCCAAATACAAAAACGCAACATAGGTATTCATATATCATGCCATTATTTACAAAAGAAAAGAAAAGAGAAGAGAAAGAAAATATAGGGGGCTATTCAATATGGTCTATAAAGTGAAGGGCCTGATGGTATGGGCATTGGCATTGATACAGGCCCGGTTGGATATGGTATGGAAGGCGCAATTCCAGGAAAGTTAGAAGTAAAATAGGACGAAGGATGCGACGATTTTCGCATTATTTCTCTGATCTTATCGACTTTAACTTTACGTAAGTGCATTAATTTTCGTCTTGATAAAAATTGTTCTAAAAATTCATCCACCTCCATATCGCCAGCTAAAAATTTTTCAGCCACCTTCTGAAATATAAGCCACGCGAATTAATAGTTTCTTCTTTAATTTGTAAAAAAGATAAAAAAAGGAGCCATTTTGTTTTCTCTTACCTCCGATTCCTCCTCAATTTCTGCAGCAGCCGCTTGCAAAAGGTCTAATGCCGTGTCGACTGTCATAGTTCCCGATCTATCCTCTATATAATAATACAAAAAAGCAAGTATATTTTCTCTCATGTCTCTTTGGTAGACAAAAGAACGATTTAAATATTCCTTTGGTATTTTATATTTTAATATAAAAATCAATTAACATTGTTTAAAAATCTTTCGAAAGACATACTCATCTCATTGAGCTTCTCCTTGACGCTGAAACATAATCGATGTCCCTTGTCGCTGAGTTCTTTTAAAATTTCTTTACCTTCTTCCAATTCTGGCTGTTTTGAAAGATTAAATTCTGCCAACGATCTGTTGCTAGCCATAAGTACTTCTTTTTCGGTTTCAAGTTCTTTGAACTAATTGCGATGAAATATTTTTTAAGTCGATTGGTAACTACTAACATTGAAACGTCGTAACGCGTATGATAAACATTTGAAACATTTTTATACCTGCTTAATGTCCTTTACGATGTCTTCGAACTTGCTATCGTCGTTCAATATATCCTTTAATTCTTCATTACTTAAAAGTGTCAGCAAGCCTAATGCCGCGGGTATATCCGGTTCCTGACTCGATTTATACATATTGCGATATTTGTCCTTTTCCAATGATCAATTTATAGAGACGAATGGTCACCATCTAGATATAAAAAAAAGTTTCTTACCGTAAATAAAAGCCCTTTTATTTTATCTGCCCACATATGCGCAAGTACAAAGATCCCTCCTCTCCTCTCGATCAAAACGATCTGCTGATTATTATATGATTATGTCGAAGTAATACTTACCTATCGAACGATTCGAAATGAAGCAATGTATATTCGTTGACTTCTCCGTAGGTACAACTACACGATTTTCAGGCTGCTTCGTTTATTGTGTGTGTATATATATATATATGTATATATATACGTGTGTGTGTTGTGTATATTCTTGCGTTGTAAGAAAGAAATTTGGTCGATATAATAGTCGACAAATTAATAATCACCAAGAGTGTTAATCAATCTTGCTTCTCCTTTATCATACAGCTATGATGCACTCTCTCTTTGCGCAATCGTTAGGCAATTGTCAGTGTTTCTATGTGTCGATAACTTTTGTCGACTTTTGACGACTAATGGCGACGCGACTGAAATATCGTGTCGTCAGTCGATAAAAGAAAAATCGATTTGCATCATAGTCGATATGCATTTACGTCGACGAACTGAACAACGGAAGAAGAACTGCTGTACGGCGGGGAAGGAATAAAAATAAATCGGTGGCTTGAAAAGTGTTGAAAAATCATAATTTTTCGAGATGTACCGTTAATAATTATTTCATACATTGAGTTTAAATTGATATTTAAAGAGATAGACGTAAATTATAGATTTTATCGTTTTCTTTTTGCCGAGAAATTACTATGTGAAATATTATTTAAATACGTCCTTTTTTATCGTCGTCCACCGCTGAAATGGCATGAAATTTGAAAATATCGCTTCTACGTAAGAACATTACGCAGAAAGAACTTTTCGTTATCGTTTGCGAGCCCATCATGACAACATTGAAATGTCGTTCTCTGTCTCAGCTACGATATAACCTCAAAGTGATAATCGACAACAATCTAAAATGAGGGAAAGTGTCTACTACGTAGAAGAGTTTTAATAACGTTGAAAATGTGATTATAAGGACCACCGGTTAATTGTATTAAACATTTCTTAACGTACGAAAAATGTACCATAAAAGATGCCATCGACGAAAGACAAGTGGGTCAGACGTTTCGTTATACCCGAAACTACGCGACACAGAAAAGGTTTTACCATTTACAAAGTCACATCCGTGGTATGACATTGATTCGTCCATAATGATAATATTTAATAATAATTAAAAGTTTCGAATCTTTTATCTGTTCACTTTCAGATATATTTAAAGGCATCCAGAGAGGAAGTATCGAAGGTATCCGTTTGGAAGCGTTACAATGACTTTAAAAAACTCCATTCGGCGTTATATGCCTTGCATGCGCACTTTCAAATCAAAGATCCCTTTCCACCATTCACAAAATCCAAATTTTTCGGTAGATTCGAGGTCGAGGTCGTTCAAGAGAGAAAGAACAGCGCGTTGAAGTTCTTAGATTTCATTGGGAAACATCGGTGCTTATATACTAGTGACATTTTCATTAAATTTTTTGAAAACAGTAGTCTTAACGACAGCGATACGATAAACGGTCGTTCGCAGTCCGTCGGTTCTGATACTTCGGAGGACGATCATAATATTGCCGGGCTAAACGACGCCGTCTTAACGAACAACATTGAAATAATAGAAAGCGCCCGTCTTTCGTTGGGTAATATCATTGATCTTACCGATGAAGAATCAAGATCTTTCGACGACGTAGAAGAAAGCCCATTTGAAATAGCGGGCCCGTTGAAGGAGGAGGAGGAGGAGGAGGAGGAATGTCGTTGCGTTACCGCCAAGGGGGGCAGCAATAACGGTTTCGTTATAAGCAGCGCGTCGTCAGATGGCTTGAAACTGGATGATCGGTATAATAAGCATGAGAATAATAAAAGGTACGAGTTGAAAAAGACTAAAATGTTAAAAATAAAAAATCCCAAGGCCATACAAGATTGTACGGATCTTGCACATACGTGCAAGGACATTACTCATTATATAGTAGTCGCTGCCGCGTATATAAGCGCGGCGTTCAAGCACGAAGCCATTGCGGAATATGAAGAGGCATTTGCCCAATACAAAATGGGAATATCAACGTTGTTGTTAGGCGTTGAAACCGATCCGGACGATGCGAGGAAAATAATAATTAAAGAGAAGGTATCGAAATATTTGGATAGGGCGGAGAAATTGTACAATAGATATTTAAATTGGAATATTTCGCTTCTTAATAAGCCGACGACGGATCTTAAAAATTACAAAGTATTGAATATAATAGATTCCTTAATGCTCGTTAAAGATTTACATACGAATAACGTTAGAATAGTGAAGAGTATCGAAAAGCCCTTATCCAATAAGGAAAATCCAATGAGCGATTATATATTGCGCGGGGAAATACCATTTATGGTACGTTTGCACGGTTATATCGAAACGGAAGCAACGGTATTTCTTATATTGGAATACGTTAAACGCGGTAGATTGTGGGATTTTATAATTAAAAATTACAAATCGCAGGACGACAAGTTAAAAAGCGATGATGATTATCATTCGGAAAGAATTCGGCTTGGCATTACGGATGAATGCCAAAATACTTTCGAAGGAATATATAATGACGAGAATGAAAGGAAATTAATAACGGAACGTTTTCGTTGTCCATACGACGACGTTGAAGAATCGACCAGGATGAATCTCGTTACGTCGAAGGAAGACAATGCGCATTGCCAGATATATTATAACGTAGACGAAATCTGTGGCAGTGACGTGCCTACGACGCAATTGTTAGAAAAAGCCCAAAAATTGTTACAATCCGTTAATGCCACATTAAGGAGAAGTAATTTCGTCGTTAATCGATCAAACGAATCAAAAGAAGAATTCATTTGTTCGGGGAGAAACGTTAGCCGTGCATTAAAAATGTCCAACGTTTCTCAATTTAAAGAATCATCATCGAGCGTGGATAATAATTTGAAGAGATCTTTAACCGATAGTTTGGATTATAGTTTTGCCAACGCGCAGGATAATAATACGTCGAGTAGTAATAGTTCGGATGCATCGACGAGTAACTCGATAATAACAGATGATATCAAACAGGAGGAATGTTATTCAACGTATGAGAATAATATCGGATCATTGCGAATAAATGATGGTATCGATGGTACCATAAACGATGGTACGAAATGTTTCATCAGTAAAAATAATTCTCTGGACGAAGGAGCACTTTGGGAAATTCCTGAAGAAGTCGTTTGTCGTTGGGCAGCAGAAATTCTTTTAGCGCTCGAAGCATTGCACCAACAAGGAGTTATAATATTCGATTTGAAGCCGGAAAAGATATTATTGGACGAGCATGGTCGTGCAACGTTAACATATATTGTACCATACCGTAACGGCGAATTAACAAAAATAAGAGAACAAGAATATTCTTCTCCGGAGTTGTATATGTTTTCACCTACGACTTGTACTTCACCAGCTACAGACATTTGGAATTATGGAATCATTTTGTACGAGTTACTTACAGGCATTGTAAGTCTAACTTTCCAATTGATTGACAGGTCTCCCCTCGGGCATTTATTCACCAAAATTATTCACCCTTCTTTTCTCTACCTTTTTTTTCCTCAGAAGTTTAGATCTTTACACGGCGAACCATTTCGTTCTCATTCCGTCGTAAGCGTACCTAATAAATTGTCGGATAATGCCAGATCTTTACTCTTAAACGTAAGCTTAAGATTAAACAATACTTGAGTATGTTTCATCAACCATGCGCCATTTAAATTATTATTATTATTATTATTATTATCATCATTCGCAGATTCTTAAGTATGACCCGGAAGAACGATTAACGATATCGGACATCAAGAAACATTACTTTTTTGAAAAGATCGATTGGTCGAGCATGGTATATTCTACGATATAATAAAATAAAAGATCGCGATATGATTTCAAAAGATCGCGATTTAATGAATTTATTAAAGTCTAACGTCCGCTTTAAAGGTAGGTATTAATAATCTCTCGGTCGAATCAATTTCGTCGTTTTATTATCAAGTATTAATTTAACTTTAAGTTAAACTTAAATAATAAAATAGAAAATTTCATAGGGTAAAACAAATCATGAATTTATTTCAGACGGAGGGGATACAACAGTAGTGGTAGAAAGAGAATTATTAAAAAGCAAGAAAATGTAAAAATATGCGCGCGCGCTCTTTAATATTATTATTACTTTGATCTAGATTTCTCTGTTCTAGTAACCGTTGACATCCCATCAATGAATCTGGTTGTAAATAATACATTAGCATTATTGAACATACCATCTTTTAATGACACAACAATAAACTGTGAATGTTTAAAGTGTCTCTTCAACATTGTACCTATATTTTCTGTATGAGAAAGATCCAAAGCTGCGTCTACTTCGTCTAATATGTAAAGCGGAGCTGGCTTAAATAAAAGCATAGCTAGTATTAAAGATAAAGCTACTAAGGATCTTTGACCGCCAGACAATTCTCCCAATGATTCTTTCCAAATTCCAGAAAATCCAATTTTGATTTCCAATCCTTCCGTAACCGTTTGATTTTCCGGAGGTATCAGTTTAGCGTCAGCTCCTGGCAACAGACTATTGAATATCGAACCAAAGTCTCTATTAACCTGAAACGACGGAACGTCGATAGAGACAATTTTTACTCGCACGATTAAAATAGGAAGAAGTAACAAAGCATCATACCTGTTCCCAAGCTTTTAGCAGTGTCTCCTTCTTCTTTTCATCCAAATATTTGATCGTTTCGAGTATCTTCTTTTTATCACTTTCAACGATCTTTTTCTTTTTCACCATGTCATTATACTGTTCCTCTTCTTTATCCAAGAGATTAATCGCTCGTGTATTGACGTTACGGCTAAGCTTATCGCACTGTATCTGCAATTGCTGCAATTTCTGATCCATTTCCTCTGGCTTGTTAACCTCAAAATCGTACATACCACCTGCGATATACGATATAATATAATATATAATATGGAAATATTGATATAACGACACTTTATATTAACCAATTAATAACACCCGCCTTTCCAATACCTGCTTTCCCAAAGTATTGTTTATCCTCTTCTATCCAATGATACTTTTTCGTTAGTTCGACGACTTTTTCTTTGCAATCTTTCGAATAATTGTCAAATGTATTAATCTCGTGATTTAACTTTTTTATTTCCAATTCTGTTTCTCTGTTTTGCTTCACGATATCTTCTTTCTTTGCATTTAACTTTTGCACATCCTCATTCTGTTGATTTATAATACGCTTTTGTTCTTTGACGTTGTTTCTTAAAGTCTCCAACGTGACATTAATTTCCTCGAGTTCTTTTTCGAAATCACGTGCGATTTCATTGAGCTCAATTAACTTTTCCTCGGCCTTAATCAATTGTCCCTTACCAGTCTCTATAGTTCCCTTTAACTCTTTTATCTCCAATTCCAGCGTTTCCGATTCTTGTTCCCGTTTTTGCCACTCGGCACGACTCTTTTCAGCTTTCCTCTTTAGGGTCGTTAATAGACTTTCCGATTCTTTTAATTGCTTTTCGCGAATATTTATAGCGTCCTTCAATTGACATTCCAATTCCTTGGTCCTTCTTTCGTTATCTCTTTCCAAAATTTTCGCCTCATTCATACGCTTCATCAAGCCATCAATATTTCCCTTCAATGATTCTACCTGAGGAAAGAAAATTTTCATCCGAAATATTTCTTAGAACATGGGAAGAAATTCCTATAATACCTATAATACGTTACCTCCTCTTTAATCTTATGATGCGTCGTTTGCTGTAATCTTTGTCGCACCATATCGACCTCATACTTGTGCAAATCAAATCGTTCTTTCAACGACGCGTACTGTCCCTCTGTCTTCTGAGCAACTGTCAGAACTCTTTCAATCTCCGTCAATTGTTGTTGTTTCTCTTTCAATGAATTTTTCGTTTCTTTTAATTCTTCTATTTTAAGGAGAACCGAACCTGTTTTAGAGGGTGCACCACCGGACAATGTACCGGCAGGATCAAAAATATCACCTTCTATGGTGACACATTTTTTCATGATTTTCTCATGAAAAGCTATTCTTTTTGCCGTTTCCATATCTTTACATATAAAGGTCTGTCCGAATATCCATGTCATCGCAGGTCTGATCTCTTCTGGAAAATCAATAAGCGACAAGGCCGACTGAACGTTATCCGCGCCAACCAATCTTTCGGCAAATTCGATTATATGCCGCTCCATTGGTCTTCCGTTTATTTTGTTAAGAGGAATAATCGTGACGCGTTGTTGTAGCTGACCGTGCTGCAGTAATCTTTTACTTGTATTTTCCGTATCGACTATTACGTTGTAAAGCTATAATTTAATTAAATATGCATATATATATTTTATTTTTTTTTTTGTTATATAAAATCTCAAGCAGAAGACATCTTTTGGAGAAATTTTGATTTCTTTTGCTGGCATATTATTATTACGTACCTTCCCGCTCGCAGCCACGTCCAAGGCGTACGCAGTATCCTTATTCTTAATCGTTAACAGCGTACACGCCAATCCCTTAACGGAATTCTCTTTAAAATTGCCATCCGGGATTTTATAATGAAACCTAAGCTGAGGATATTGCAATTCAAATTGATCCACTTTCTCTTGCAAAGATCTTATTTCGCATTTTAACGAATGCTTTTGAGCTTCTAGCTCTTCCAGGTGGCCCTTTTTGTAATTAATCTTTTTCAATTCATTTTCCAAATTCTTCAACTCCTTTTCCTTCCTCTCGAGATCTTTATTATCCCTCATATATTCATCTTCCGTATTGTACATGTCTTTTAATTTTCCATTCAATTGACTTTTAGCATGATCCAATGACATCTGCGACTGTTTCAGTTCCGTTTGCGCTTGGGTAACACCTTGTTTGGCACATATCAATTGTTGCTCCAACGTCGCATTCTCACCGTCCTCAGTTTGTAATAATCCCGAACTGATCTTTTGATATCTCTCTTGGGCAACGATTAACGCCTCGGCGTCTTTCTCATCCTCCTCTTTTAATTGCTGAAACAAGCTACCAAACTTTTCTATTTCTTTCTCTTTAACGAGCAACATTTCCTCGTCCTCGATAATATTCATTTTTAATTGTTCCGCCGTCTTTCTCGCAGCTTTAATATCTTCTTTATTACCATTAGATCGGGCCGCTACCTTATATTGTACTTTTTCCGCATCCTTTAAATCGTGTTCCAACTTTTCCAACTTTATTCCGAATTCCTGGAGAAAAGAAAAAAAATCCATTATGAGCAAAGTGCAGATAGATAGTAAAAAAGGCAAAATGTATATTATAATATATAGGTAGAGACGTGTCCCATGAAAGAGTAAAAATGAACATTACCAACGTTTCATAGAGTTTCAGTTTTAACTCAATGCCATTTATTTATTACTAACCGCGTCTCTAGTCCTAACAATTTCGGCCAATTTATCGTCTATTTCACGTATCTCTTCTTCCCCGATATTAATGTTTCTTAATTTTTCATTTATCGTATCTTTGGTTAACCGTATATCTTTCTCTGCCTTTTCATTGTGCTTCAAAGCGATGGTATACTTCCAAGCAATGTTTATCCTCTTGTAATGTTCCAATTCTCTTTGCATCCTTTGGAATTCCATATATTGAGATCTCTCCAACTTGAGTTTATTCAACTTTGGAGCTATTTCTTCTTGTAAAACCTGAAATAATACTGTCTCAAAGGTTTATAAAATAAGACATAGAGAGTAGATTTATAAGAGCTCTTTAGGACGTACATCATTTATTTCTTTCAGCCTATTGTCCTTCTTCTCTATGGTCTTTAACGCTGTCTGCTTTTTCGTCTCATACATGCGCGTTCCTGCTGCCTCCTCGATCATAGATAAAATTTCTCCTGGTTTCATATTTAAGACCTTAGTTATTCTACCTTGCATTATCAAAAAGTGTGGGTTATTTACGTTTAATTGTACCGAACAGAACAAATCTTGAACTCTTTTATTAGGTACGTTTGATCCATTAATCAAGTATTTATTTTTTCCACCGATTATTATTTGTCTTGTTATTACAAGTTCCTCGTGATGTTCATATCCCATTGGAGACGAATCGCGATCACGATTATCAAATACTATCGTAACGGTTGCTTTCTGTATTCCTGCCTGGCCAGACTTGTATACTAGCTCTTGCAAAGATGTAGCGCGTACCTGACAATTTGTAATATGCATATATAGATGCACAAGTGCATATGTAATTAAAAACTGACACACGCGCGTGTATACGTATGAATATACTTGACTATATATATATATATATGATGTATATATATATGTATATATGATGTATATATATATGTATATATATATATATATATGACTACACACACACATACACACACATGTAGATATATACACATACTTGATAATATCGCAATTTTCATGCATACCTGTCCGAGATTTGTAATGCCCAATACAAAACATATAGCGTCCAGAATATTCGACTTTCCACTTCCATTAAATCCTGTGATAGCGTTGAATTCTTTGTCAAAACCGGTAATTTCAATTCTTTTGCCGTAAGATTTGAAACCTTCCAACACCATCGACTTTATAAACATCGTGAGATAAGATTATATGGTATATAATATAAGGAATTATCGTAATATGCGTGCGTGCATGCGAACGCTTAGAAAAATATATTGGATCTATATGCGAAATGAATAAGAAGGACGCACGAAAATTAAAGACAATACCACAAATGGCGCCAAACTTGTATCGTACGCTTATAACGTATTGCATCATTGATCTTGTATTACATAGACTTTCGACTACTTTTTTCGTAAAGCACAAGTAAGGTTAGGATAACAATAAGGTTAGGATAAGGAGCAGCTTACTCGTTGGCGTAGCATGTGACGGAAGTCGAAGTAGGACGAACGCCATCTTGGCAAGAAGTCAATTTCCTTTGCGGAAAATTTAAATTTTTATACAATTGACTTATGCATTATTATCGTTATACAATAGTGTATGATTTAAATTGCCTATTACAACAGATTTTTATATATTTGTATATATCGAAAGAGTATAATTTTTTAGAGTGAATCGCACGGTACGCTTTGAAGTTCCACGTGTGTCTCTTCTGCACCAATCGAAGTATTAAAATTACAACATTCCCACCTGCAATTATTATGATAATTAATGGTGAAGAATTAAGTGAAAACGATTTTTTGCGACAGCTCAATTTTTACCTATCTCCCTTTCTGTTCTCAAGGAACAGCTTACTCAATAGTATAGTACCCGAATCATCGGGCCTTCTTCTCTCATTTTCGTCCTTTTCGATAATTTTATGATATTGAATCGTGCCCTTTATGATCGGTACTTTATGTAAAGCGAATGAAAAATCATTCGCCGCGATATTATAAAACATCGTTGGTTGATTGTATAGTTTGGGTAATCTGAAAGGAAAAATGTCGTTATTTCAATGATAAATGGCTAAATTATTAATGAAGATAGTATAATATTGATCGTACATGCAATTGATCTTGTACGTAGTCGTTGAATTATTTTGATATGTTTTAAAGAGCAATACTCCCATAGTTCTTGGCAGACCTTTAGCCGTCGCTATGGTAACTCTGAAGGGTTCTCCTGAAAGTTTTGTTTTGTTTTTCTTCTTTTCAAACTAAGTTTCAGTAAATAGAGCATAGAAAATTTCTTCGCAAATAAATAATGGATGTAGTTATACCGCAAAAGGGTGGTTCGCTTCTGGTAGGTAAAAAATAACTTCCTAATGGTCCACGATTTGCTCTGTATCCCATTTCTTGAGACCAACCGGTAGATTCCATAGGGAAACAAGTACCTTTTGCATATGAAACGAATCCCTGAGGACATGGCCATGCTACGAATTTGCATTTTTGGGATTGCGTCAGTATACTTTCTACGTAGAGTTGCCAGGCCCTCAAATGACTGCACGCAATCTGTCTATCTAAAAGTTCTTCTGTAATAAATAGAATATATATAACTGTTTATCGTATAAAAAAAAAATATATATATATATATATATATGCAATGACACAAATCGAGTAATTATTTCGTCGAGGGGATTGCGTCAGGGTTGCGTTTACCTTTCAAATGGCTGACAACGACGGAATTTTTAACGTCGGAACATCCTGGCTGTTCTTTACCGCCGTTAGGAAACATGTCGATGTGTCCGATAGGTTTGAGGAGACCAAATCCATCGGTGAAATCTTCGGAACCGTCGGTATGAATAACGTCAACGAGATGAGCGTCGGTAGCATCGAGTTTTCTCGATTTTTCGCGAAATAAATGGCTTCGAAAAAATGGCGAGGCCGGATCGAGGCCAGTGATACGAGCAAGTAGGAGGCCCCATTTTTTTAACATTTCAGCAGTGCATCCTGCTACGTGAGCTCCCAAACTGAAGCCCGTTACGTGTACGTCCATAGGATCGGTTCCCAAATTAAAGGCATCCAAAAGAACAAGCGCAAGTTGTCGGCCAACTAATTCGGTATTAGCAACTGCAGCCGCGTAACTCGTGCCTGCCCCCCTTGTCCAATCCAATATCAATATATTCACATCCTCCTGTTTCGAGCGAATTGATCTTTATATTCTTTTTTCTTTTCCTTCCTTTCTTTTTCTACAGGAATAACGTTTCGACATAACGTTATTCATTATATATTACATAAGTCTCTAATAAGGGGAAATTTACCAGATCGAGTAGAGCATTAATCCCACGAATCAAACCGTAATCGCTACCGCTACCTTTGAAGCCGTGTATCAGGACTTTCAATTGCTTCGACACATTTAATCCAGATTGTAACAACGACTCGGATTGATCTGCGTATATAATAACTTTTGGATTTTCCCGATTGCTTCTGTTATACAATAAGAACTTTGTTTGGATAACGTTCGGATGCTCGGGTGGTCTTTTCAAAGACAAATGGACCGGTGGATCCGCGAAGCAGCCGACTAGATCTAACGATGATATATATATATATATATATATATATATATATATACATAAATATATACCGATACGATTAAAATCTACGCATAGTAAAAGAGTAATTGTTATTCTTTAAAGACGTACCGTAACAAATTGTTGGTTTCAATTCTTCGCGACTGTATCCGAGTCGTCGTAATTTAATACGATTAGACATGTTCAGTAGTCCTACGTTCGCATCCGATGCAACGTTTAGAGCCTAAATTGAAATGTACAATAGTACCTATGTACGTAATAGTTTATACTCACCATGATTTCGTTTTCCCTCGATCGAAGATATTGACAACGTCATAAGGCAAACAATAGTCAGATCTCGAATTAAAAGTATCAATGACTTTAGATCGCCGATCCTTGCTTTTTTCGATTTTTCAATAAATCGCATTATATCAATTTTCTTCTTCGCTCTTTTCCTTTGGAGGTACTCACTTGAAGACACCTGTCCGTTTTACCTGCAGGAGCCCGATCCGTCTGCCGCGTCTTAAGAGCAACTATACAACTTGTTTTATACTCGAGGCAAAGAATTGCAACTTCCTTCATACCGTTCTTTTCTTAAACGGTTCGCTTATAATCCGTGAACGATCAGTTTGCGTAAAGTTAACGGTAGTAGGAAATATAAACGCTATATTGTTGTGCGATGATAGCTTTAACTCGATTGGAAATATATGGCGAAGAGTAACGTTATCTCGTCTTTTCTTTCTATAATAATTTGCCAAAGTAAAAAACTTGTACGCAAAATTTCAATCTACGCATAATGTGACTATGACTATTTTAATTTTGTTTAACTAGTCGTCGTGAAACTTTATTCCTTCTCTAATACTTACGAGTTACCATTTTATAACTGTCTTACGTAGATAATATGAAAACGAATCTAAAACGATGACAATTAGGTATACCGATTAACAACATGCAGAAATGACTACGCTCATTGGAAAACTTTCGCTTTATGCGCGGCCTCAATGAGTATGACCTCTTCCCCGTGATGTAACGCAGTGTGCACTGTAAATGTAAACAATAATGGAGCGTTCGACGAGTATGACTTTCTCTTTTCCACGTCGAGTCATGTTTCGCACGAATGAGTAGTAAGTACACGCGCGAGCGCGCGCGCACACACACACACAGTTTCGCGATGGTACGCGCTTTAAAAAAAAATTTGAACGATCGAATTAGCGAGTTATCTGGATCGAAAGGTTTGTTAAATTTCATTTGAAACTGGCCGAACAACTTTCGTCTCTCTCTCTCTCTCTCTCTCTCTCTCCCCCGTAAAAGATGCGTTAAGAAAAGTGCAATGCAAATGTTAGCGCGACGAAAGTATTTCTCCTCATTAAATATAACGGTTTAGTCGTACGGTAGATAAATCTGAAAGAAAAATGTCAGTAGCTTTGTATACGATATACGTCTTACTCGTTGTAACAAAGAAAGTCAGATAAGGATAAAAGGATCCATACTTACAACATATTTATTTGTAATATTTTAGTAATATACTCCTTAGTGTAGACATATATTTATATCGTATGGCAGCATATTATAATGACATTTTTTTTTTTCTTTTTCAATATAGGTAAGGTGACTGACAGAACAATTCATATTTTATTATTCGCGGTTCGGGAAACGACATTGTTAATTTCACTTTCTTTAGAAGCGTTCGTTTACATTCGTCATTTCGCGTTAATATACGGTTTGCGTTCATTCTCTTTCATTCTCGCGCACGCACGATTCACGCAGACTCACGCTCGCTCTCGCGCCAAAAGTTCATACGAATCAAAGATCGTAATCGTTTACAGTCGTTTCTCGATAACCGTGGATCGGCCAATGCTATGATCCTTCAAGAATTTCTTATTTTCTTAAATAAACCTCAATCTCGATTCGATATCCAGTGGATTCAGCTCGTTGCACGCTCATTTGCCGCAGGCGTTACACGCTCATCGACCGCACGTGCGAACCGCCGTTTAATAATAATAATAATGATAATAATAATAATAATAATGATAATAATAATAATAATAATAATAATAATAATAATAATAATAATAATAATAATAATAATAATAATAATAATAATAATAATAATAATGATCATCATCATCATCATCATCATCCTTATCATAATGACGATGACGATGATGACGATGACGATGACGACGATGACGAAGACGATGACGATGATGACGACGATGATGATGATGACGATGACGACGATGACGACGACGACGATGACGATGATGACGATGATGACGATGACGATGATAATTATTATGATATATATTGTTCGTAACATTATCTCATACTTACTTGCCTAGTTAAAATATCAATATACATTATAATATACTCTAGTAACGATAATGCAACGTCATTAATTTATTATACTTTGCAACTTAGAAAAATAGTCCTGGCTAAGCGTGATCGTATTTCGCGACGACGTGCCTAGGATCGGTGCGGATCGCGATTGAAAATGAAACAAGTGGGCTCATACACGTGTATAACACGTGTGATCGATCTCCCGACGAATAAAGATCCGCGCATGGAAAATATCATTTTGGGATTCACTTTTTAATTGACTAGAATACTCACGCACACACATACATATATGCATATGTATATATGTATATATCTTTTCTTCGTTCTTTTTTTTTTCTTCTTCTTCTTTTTCATTTCTTTTCCATCGAATTGTCGATAAAGCGCGGCAGCGAATCCAGCGAATTCCCAATAAAGTTCGGCCAAACGCGTATGCAATCATCGTTATGTCCGTTTATCTCATACGTGATACCGAAGATTGGACGAAACCAAGATGCAATTAAGATCGAGGATACAAGACGTGAAAAGCGTTGCGTTTGGCATTTGGAAAACAACGAAACGTTCGCTTGTCTCGAGAAAAAAGAGAAGGAAAATTTCCCAAGACAGTTCCTTCTTTCATTTTGATTTACTTTCCGCTTGTATCGTCGCTTCTCGATTGCATTAAAAATTTTCCTTGCATTCCTACGCATCGATTATCGATCTCGTCACGGGTCGCGCGATGCGATCACAGCACAATATAATCTATAAAAACGATTAACGAAACAACGGTAGTACTACCCATTTGAAATTGTTACCCTCTACTATACCTAGTGTTGATTTATAATCGGCTGCTAATCGTTCTGATCATTGACCCATTGATTCTCGCGTTTCGGAGATCGTAACTACAAGTCCCATCCTTCGTTTCCTTTTTCTTTTATCTTTCTTTTCTTTCTTTCTTTTTTTTTCTTTCTTTTTTTTTTTTTTCTTTTCTTTTTTTTTCTTCTCGTCCTCTTTACGCGAAAGACGTACACCTCTTGTGCTTTTGGCTCGATGCAATCGGCGTTATTCTATAAGCTCGCTTCTAAATAACAATGAGAAAACAATAAAATATCGTCGTACGAACGAGGGACGTCGTTTTCGCAGAAACGAGCGCGCTAATTAAGAGGGAGGAAAGAGATTTACGAACGAAAAGAAGAATTCTTTTCCTTTGTAATAGCTATACTCGATAGAGAAGAAAGGAGCGAAAGAAGGAAAAAGTTTCTTTTGAGAATCTTTGGAATGAAAATGTTGGAAGGGAGCTCGTCGTATTTAACGATAAGGCTGAACGCTCTCGACTTTGAATTGACACTTTTGTTTTCTATTATTTCATCGTTCATCGTTCGTCGCTTAAGAGGATCCATCGCGTACTCGTTACGCATGCCCTTTATCCCTCGGCGGATTTCATTCATAAATCGCTTTTATAGTGCTTTCGTGTTAATGAAACGGTTCGCATAAGCGGTCGATTGATGCGACGACGAGCGCAAGCCGGTGTAAAAATGCATTACAATGCTAATATATCGACACACTACTATAGTTTGATAATATCTACTGGCTTGATATAGCGATCAACGATAGTCGTCTTTTTTGTCAATTTTTTTACCCTCTTCTACGCGAGCATAAGGTACATCATAAGTTCTTCGCTTATGCGCACGCCCTTTCCTCTTCCTCTTTCCCTTCTCTTTTCTTCTCTTTTCGCTTTTTTCTATTTTTTTTTCTTCTTTATTCATTTCTTTTCTTCAACGCGTGTGTCCTCTGTGTGTGTGTGCGTGTGTGTGCGCGCGCGCGCGCGCAACATCGTGTGTCGTCTATTATAGAAATCTTAGATCCAAGTAAAATCGTAAACGTCGGGTCAATAATATTTATCTAAACGCAATGATAATAATTTCGATTATTGTGTAAATACTGATGGATATATCTGTCGCCATTCACGTTGCATCACCCTCTATAATTCTGCTTATTATTTTCGTACTATTTATATCTCCGCATTTTCAATATATATATACATATATATATATATATATATATATATATGTTTGTTTTTTCTTACTCTCTCTCTCTCTCTCCCTCCCTCCCCCTCGTTTAATTAAATATATTTATAGAGTTAGAATTCTCATATTCCCGAACGATATCTAACGACGTCCGGTCGCGTAATTTCTAATCCTTTCTTTTCTCTATTTCTCTTTCCGGCTTCCCTTTTATCTCACAATATGAGATCCTTAAGAAACGTGTAATTTTTGTAGGCGTCGATTACACGCGGGATTTCGAGGATCCGTTGTGTTTAAGGCGAAATTATGAAAAAAGTTTGAGAAAAATATGAAGGAAAGAGAGAAGTGATTTCTAGCGTGTTTGCATAAAATTGAATAGGAATATGTAAACGCTCTCGTCATCTCGCTTGTAATAAACGCCTTCGTGATTTCGTTTGATAATAGTGTATGATACAATGCATACTGCGATTACGTTTCAAGTTTGAATTTTTCCTAACGAAGAGTGGAAGCTCCTCATTTTTTGCAAACATTAATATGCTGTCTTTTCTTAAACGACGGATGCAGTGTTTCATGCATCGATATTATTATTGTAGAAGCAATAATTATATCTTATAATTAAGCGTCAGACTTGTATGTACATAGCACGCTGCAAAGAGAGACACCTAAACGACGTTTGTTTGCGAATGATAATCGATTTTAATAATAAGAAAGAGACCACAATGTTCTATGCGATTAGATTAGCGACGACGTAATTTTATATTTGTTGCAGGTATCAAAGATGAAGACGAAGAGAGTTGGTCGATAGGAGAAATTTTTAACGGCGATATTACTTGAAACGAATCGATAAAGTAAACAGAAAGAATGTAAATAAATGTGCGTATAGAATACGGGGCATACCGTTTAGATGATTACTACGCATTCGTAAATACTTATCGTAAGTGCCTACGCGTATCGTCCGGGTCGTATAAAAACCAGCCGTGAAAATGAAAAGAAACTGTTATGAGATCATTCTGGGTAGGAGGTCGAGTGTATAACGGCAAGCTCTTTCTTATTACCATCGTAACGTGTCTTCGGACGAAGTGATAACGTATCGTTGCGGCTTTTTACTTTAAATCCAACTATCATATTTTGACTTATGGACGAAGAAAAGAAAACGCATTCTTCGTTATATTTTACGACCGTAAACCTTTTTTTCTCTCTTTTGTTTGTTCTTTCTTACGCGAGAACGTTTATTTGGTTTGGTATAATTATTGTTAAACCGAGAAAACGATCTTAATAAAAATTCAAAATTAATCTCAATAAAATATAATGGGCGAGCTGTGAATAATTGCCATTTGCGTTTGTTGGAGATATAAAAACGCGCCTGATATATATCGTTAAAAGTACATCAATGTATCGCAATGTTCTTTCGTTAAAATGTCTCTTAATGCGATATTGCCGTTCGAACGACAGTCTGACGAACTGCGACGCTGAGAATGAATTGTCTTGAAAATATTGCCAATATACATTATCGTTATGCTAACGAGGCTTATTTATGTTGTGCCGGTTGTAGCACCATTAGGAAAATACGTCTACGAGTTGTATGCACTTTGTGATTCGTGCAATGATAAATGGATATTTGGTGATTTTGATAAATGGATATGTCGAGAGAAATTAAGACATGATCGATACCCTTCTTCTTCTTCTTCTTCTTCTTCTTCCTTGGGAAATGTCTAAACGTAAGTATTTTGGTTTTAATTAGAATTATCGTAAATTTATTGCCTTCTATTCAAATCTTCTAGATCGGTTTTTCGATCATTGAAACGCATTGTAGATCTGTAGATTCGGTACTAGGTCTTGTTCTTTCCAAGGAATAACGTTTCTCTACTTTTTACTAACCACCAAGAAATAACGATGCTCATTTCTTCCAAAATTAATATAGG